CTTCGTGTCTGGCTGGCTGCCGCCCCTCCCCCCCCGCCCGCACCCTGCTACAGTCATCTCCGCCCCGGGCACCACACTTCCTTGCCACGATCTGAAAATAGGCTCTCCTTTACAGGAGGAAACGTAGGGAAGTGCGGCTTTCCCCTGCAGGCTGGGGTGAGGGGCGCTGGGTCCGCGTTGCCCATTGGTGTTTACAACTGGGTTCTGGCACAAAAAAGGTTGAGAGCCAACCTTTGGACTGGGTGACCTCCGGGGGCCCCTCCCTGCCCCACTTCATGGCTTTCATAGACATTAGGGCTGGAAGGGGCCTTGGAAGATCACTGAGTCCAGCCCCCTGCCCCAGGGGCAGGAAGTCAGCTGGGGTCAAAGGGTCCCAGCAAATGAAACAGCCAAATTTCTCTTGAAATAAACATTCAAACTTATCTGACTCTCTGCTAGGTTATGTATATTGGCACAGTTTAGCAGTAAACTGCTCATACATTTACACTGGCCAGACCTGTAATGTAATTATCCCCCAATTAATTACTGAATCCTGCAATAAATTTAGACTGGCCACATGTGCAAAGTAAGGCTGGCCACAAGCGGGAAGCAATTATCCCACAATTAACTGGTGAATCTGACACTACATTTGGATGGGCACATGTGCAAATCATCACGATAAAAATGACTGTTCAGCTATAAAAACACCAACCAGCTATAAAGTTAGTGCTTGAAAATGTGCAACGGCTCTATCACTGGTTTCTAGCCAGCTTTGATCTGAACATGCGGAGGACCCTTCGGCTGTAACAGCACTTGTTGCTTGTGAAGGGAGCAGATGCCACCTGCTGAGACGCGGAGACCTCCCCCACCAGCTTGCAGCAGTGCTTTTCCAGCACCTTTGAGAGTGTTTATGACTTTAAAATGATCTGCTTATCTATATAGGGAATTCATAATAGTGTGTGGTATGGGTCATATTTTATGGGTAATATTTGGGAATAGGAAGAGGAGCTATAAAACCAAGCTGCAACCATGATATTGCTCACCGTTATCAGGGGTTTCACCTGTTGTACCTCTGAGATGTACGTTATTTGGGGAATGTTTTAAAGAGCCTTCTTTTTTTTTAAAAAAGTCCATTTGGACTGTTATGCTTCCACCATGATGCATCATCTAGACTCTACCTCAGAGTACCACCACCCTGACGGCACAGACCTGACACCCTCACCTGCCACAAGCAAAGCGGGGGAAGCATGTCGATCCCATTTGCTCAGCCTAGGCTGACTGAGAAGTCATCTGAGGGCAGTTTACCTCTCTCAAGTCAAGGCTGGAACATGGAGCTGCCTGTTTAGTCTGCTCCATAAACCAAAGTAGGACGTAGTCAACAGCTTGCCCACTGAGTTGGGTATTATGCAGGGCCTGTGACATTTGTACAGGAAGAATGGTATTAAATACATTTCTAGGTGGAGTTTAGGTATTTAAGTCTGAAATGGTTTAGAAGCCAGTTATCAATGGAGCTGCCTCCTTCCACCTCAGACTTATTTAGAAAACTCTTATCAGGGAAAGCTGTGACAAAAAGATGTAGAATAAAAGTTGAAGATCATCTCTTATAAGAAGTGCTATCACTCAGCACATTTAAAGCTGGACTTGACAGCAGGCCAAGAAAGATGCAGTAATAAAGCACAGTCCTGCAGTGGCAAGAGCTGGTCTAGATGCCTTCCCACTACTAGCTATAGGAGTCCATGTTTGTTCTGCTTCATAAAACAATTTACGGCCTGGAACAGTGTAACCTGCTAGAACTTGAGAAATGAGAATTTGTCCCAACATGAGTCAGGAAAGACTATTAACAAATTATGGCTAGGATTCTTTTTTCCTTTACTTGTAAATAGTAATTGTTTAAACAGTTACTGGCAAGTTGTATCATTAGCACTGACAAATCTACAGCTTTCCAGTTTAAGGATAAAAAATAGCCTGTAAGATCTTCAGCACTTTACCTTAGTGAATGTTTCTACAATTTGCACAATGGGGAGAGATGGTCCTGACCAGGGATGTTGGCTGTTCCCACTGCATGGTTTTCAAAATGAAATTGTCAATGAAGTTTTCCTTTCTGTGTTGCTTTCCTCAGCTTCCTTGTGTTTCTGAGATACCAGATTTACTATGGCTACCCCCTGCTGACTTACCTGGAGTACCCCATCCTCGTTGCACAAGGTGAGGTTTCTCTCTCCCCCTATAGATTTTTAACGGGCTATAGTTTCCTTTCCATAAACAACTGCTTTTTATTTTCCCCTCCAGATGTCATTCTCTTGTTGTGTGTTCTGCATTACAGTGGAAAGATGGAGCATGTTTTGCCTTACATTGCCATGTATCCTTTGATGTCTAGTTAATTCTCTTTATGCAAACTTCTGGCAGGTCTCTGACAGAAGACTCTGAATATTGTCTCCCAGCACCCTTGTAAACAAGAGTCAGCCACCGTATAACATGAATTTCTTGTTCCTTTCAGATTTTTTGGATCACAGTAAAAACTTGCATCTTTAACTGATTTTACAGGGCCCACAACTGAAGAGGAATGAGATTAATTCCTAATTTACATTTGCGTTAGAGATGCATAGTGGAAAATATGAAGCTCCTTGTTACAGTTACTTTTATATGTAGATTTTACACGCAGGAATTAACATCAACAGATAATGGGTAATGCGTGATAGAAGAAATACAGCTTTGGGTTCAAACTGGGCACTGGAGACCTTAAAGCTGTGCTTGAAAACCTTCAGACACTGATTGCCTGAATATAATATGAAAAAAGAGGGGAGAAGGGCATTTGCAAAGACGGGATCAGTGCCTCTCTGCCCACCAGGCTCCACCTTTGGATCCTGTTTTGGGGATCCATGTTTCTTAACAACCTCAGCTTGCAGGTGTTTGATAAAGGTAGTATTCCAGCCCCTCTGCCTGCTTTAGGGAAGAATCTTTTTTAATTTCTCCCAATTCTTGTATTTGGAAAGTAGCTGATCCTCCTCCTCTCCAGATTTCATGACTACTGCAGAATGGTGACTTTCTTCTACCTTATACCTTCCCCTCTCCTTGGATTACTCCATTGTTAATGCTGGCCTCTGCTTTACATAAGAAGATTTTTCTTGAATTTTACTGCTATCCATTCAGGTTTTTTAAATGGTAGCTGCAACACTGACCATAATGTTTGTAATCTCTTGTTGCAGCTACTGCTGTTTGCCAAGACTTCCTGCCAGTTTGTGCAAATGCAATTTTAGATTAAAAACTGTAATAAATTGTAATGCAGTGAATTTTCAAACATCAGAGCTGTTAGTCATCTTTTGCTTATAGTTTTGTAAAAAAAAAAATCAAATGAGAGAAAACAAAGGTCTTATTTCTGAAACATGTTTGTAACTTTGCTCACACAAGTAGACCCATCAAAATCAATGGGATTACCAAGATGTGTAAAATGAAGTGTGCCTAGGTGATTGTATTTGTGAAGTTTCAGGTTCTGTGAGCAGAGTCATTATTGTAGAATCATGGACATCTTGGAGCCCTATAAAGTCGTTGTGGGATAATGTCTATTCAGGGAGCTATTCTAGGATCTTATTGTGTGACGGCTTTCTGGTAAACTTATAGATTTTTGTGTCATTATAGACACCATCTTAATAAGCTTAGCGCTCCCATCCAAGACTGCTACTGAAAAAGTGTATACTTTCCAGTAGTGTATACTCTCTGCTACCACACACCAACTTCTGTACTGCCCAAAGGCTTCTTATAGTGGTTGTGATTAAAATGTTGATAGGTATGACTATAACATTAGTTTTTCCTTCTGCTCCTTCTAAAGCTTTCCTGCACACAAATAATGTTGATCTCATTAATTTTTTTTACTTAGAATTGTTCTGTTTTATGCAGATTTTATAGGAAGCTTAAATTACAGCATTGCTGTGGCTGTTCTTGGTTTACAGTAGGGGAATGTAGTTAATTCCTTGACTCAGGTACTTTTAGCATTATGAAACTTAACCCAAAGTAAGATTTGTAGGGGGATGGTACCTTCTAACGCTGCAGAAGTGGATAATAGACTTGGCAATGGTAAGTATTAACATGTTAACTGAAAATACTTGCATCTATGAAACCCTCCCTTTGCAGATCCACATTCAATTAAAAAAAAAAAAAATTCTTTGTATTGAAAACCAGCTGTTACTGATCATTTTCCAAATACTGTCAGGTTTTTTTTATCTCATCACAGTGAGTACTTTGAGAGAAAAAGGCACTAGAGCATGATACACTTTCAATTTTAACAATGTTTAAGGTATATGTATGCAGTATTTAAATTTGATGGAGCAAGTGGACCCACTGAGCCAGGTGCCAGTAGTACCCCATTGTTGTACAATCAGACAAGTTTCAGGATATATTTTAAGATGTTGGCCTGCATACTTCTATTATACTAACCACCATTATTTTTTTTTTAAAACCTTTTATAAGGTTTTTAAAAGTTGTACAGGAAGAAAGGGGAAATAAATAAATGAATTATGTAAGGGATTAAGTTTCTGTCTCTGGTGACTCTTGTAACCTTGATGCTGGGTAAACATAGGCATGGCAGTTTTATTATCTACTCTGAGACCTAGTGAATATCTTCCACTGTCAGCTGTGTATAGACATTACTTTTAGCTATCTCAAGTGGTTTTGACCTTGCAGCAGTGTTAGGAGAGAGATTTAGATGGCTAAGTCAAACTCTCACTAAACAGAATAAAAAGAAAAGGTGGGAAAGCAGAGGGAAGGAGCAAGAGCAGGAACCTCTCTCTAAATCCAGACTATCACCTGGAATAAGACTACATAGCAGAGTCAGGTTTTCCTGGGATACATGTCAACGTCCACAAAAGCCCCAGGATAGATGCAGTTGTACAGGGCTTTTGCTGACTAGCTTATTTTGTTCAGAGAAGCTGTATAGCTGTGCCAGTATGGAAACACTCCTGCCAGCACTGGCTGCATCTCAACTCTAGTGGCAGAGGCTTGCTTGAGTAGAAATGTGCTTAGCTGAGATTAGTGATGTCACCAGATCTCTGATTCAGCAAGCACAACCCATCTCTCATGATCAGGGTAATGAAGGACCAGTGGGGCCCTCCAGGGTCCCAGTAGACCCTGGGCCAGGGAAGCAGCCATGACATGATGATAGTTTCTTTTGGTTCCATTATACTCCCCATGTTATGATTCAGCCTCATGATTCCTTAAAAAAGAAAGAAGTGAAAGAGTGGAAAGGCTTCTCATTATTTTGCGCATCAAATTGGACAATAGCTTATACCAGTTTCATCTTACATTCTGATTCCATTTTCCTTTTGGTTTCCCTAATGTGATTTTAATACAGCTTGTGGGTGGGAGACTATTTTGTTTGGAGTAACTCAGTCTTCCTTTTGTGCACTTGGAGAAACACTTGTGTGGAAGGCTGAATATGACTTGATCCTGTTTCTAGGCTTCTGTACCACTTCCAACTGATTGCAATAACTGTTTTGCCACAAAACTAGAACAGCCTGTTTCATTTTTGTTACACAGTTACTTAGCAAGTTGCTGTAACAACTGGGCTACAAACAGTGAAGGGGAAGATTTTTAAACTTTAAAATAAGGACTTTTTCTTTCTTAAGTGATGCCTCAATTTTAGGGCTGAACTAAGCATTCTTTTGTTTGGTGTTACTATGAAGACAGCTGTCCTCTCTTGGTGTCCTTCTCTGCAGAATTTGTGCACATTAATCAGTGCAGCCAGTAAACTTGCTCAGCTGCGTTGCCTGTGGCAGACAAGAGATTCTGGACAAGTGAGTGCCCTAACCTGGAGTATGTCTGCATTCACCTGTGCAAGTAAGCAGCATGCAAACACATTGACTTTTAAAAGCGCCTGCTCCAAAGATTCCCATTCCCACAGTATCTGTACCTACAGCAGTAGTCTTCTCTAACCTATAGCAAAGATGAGTCTTGCCTAGTGTAGCTTTCTGTATTATTTTCATAAGAGTAAGGATGAAGTCCTAGTCCAAGTGAGCACCACAGATTTTGCTGTTGACCTCAGTGTAGTCAAAGTAACCCTATTTGCATGTTCTTTTATAAGGATAAGGTCTCAACACCTTTAGTATTTAGTAAAAGTTTTAGCAATCCAAGGGGAGGGAAGGCAGCTATCAGGAAGGCTTGCAGGCTTCCCTGTCCCCATTGCTGTCCTCCTTTTGCAAGGAAAAGAATAAGAGAGGGATAGAGAATATTTAAGTTCTCAAAATATGAGCTGATCTCACTGGCAATTTGATATGGAAACAAACCAGCTGACAGACTCGGATCAGCAAAGAAATTAAAGAAAGAGTTGCACTTGAAAAGCGGGAGAGAAAAACAACAACCTTTTGCCTCAGCTCACCTTGTAGTGAGTTATGTTGTTCTTCTTTCAAATAAATAACCTAAGCTGAGTGTTGGGGATTTATCCTTGAGAACAGAATGAATAGGGCTGAAAAGAAGCATCAGTTTAAGACATGGTATTTATAAGGTTCTTAAGCTCGATTCTTAGCTATAAAGCAAAGGCTTTGTTTGTTTGAAAGCATCAGTACCATCTCTACTATACTAATCTCAATTCCTTTAAATTTACAGCAAGAATATTTACAACTGTAATGACCACAAATGATCTTATGGGTGAGTAAACTGAAATTGAAAATAAGACAGTAAGAGACACAGAAAACAGCAAAAAAGGCAAAAGATAAAAAGGCAAAGATAACAGCAACCTGTACTGTTTTATGGGGCATTCATCCAATAGAATAAACGACAAAAATGAGTACTTTATCCCAGCAAGCAAATTAGATTACTGCTAAGAAAACAGTATAGAACTACTGTTATGACAACAATTTCATAATACCTTGGAATGCAATGGTAAGAAGGAAAAAATATGTGGTCATCATTACATGGAACGTTAGTAACTTAATGGGCAATTTTTATTGTTAAGAGAGAAAATATTTTAATTGTTTAATTGGGAAAGCTAATTACGGCCAAAAAAGTTAATTCTTTCTTAACATAACTGAGTAGTGACTTTTCCAAATTCCGTGACACATCAAACAGATATTTCTTTTTATTGAACGTTGCTTAAAAAACAAAACAAACCTTGTTCATTAGCTGTAAAACCTCTCATGCTATATTCTCCTATTTTTTTAAATAGTACATTCACAAAGAAACTTAACTTGATAGTTATGTGGGGAGATTGGTGCAGTACTGTTACCAATGGATAGTTGTGCAATCTAAACTTTGTAATAACTGACAGCATCCACAGAATATTACTATAAAGCTGGAAGTTGTTTAATATTTTTATCCTAGAGCCCTGATAAACTGAATAGCCCAGGGGTTGTCACTGGGGGTATGCATACCCCCAGGACTTCTTGGAAAGGGGCTAGGGGGTACGCGCAGGTTGGCAGGGACATAATGCCGCCACCCACCACCCCGCACTGCTGCCTCCCAAGAGCCCGGGGAGGAGGGGGGTAAATGACAACAAGGGCAGTGACTCCCCTCTGCAGGCCACACAGGTGCTGCCTGGGGAGGGTGGGGAGCAGAGCTCGAATGCGGCAGCTGTCACTGCCATCTACCACCCTGTGCCGCCCCTCACCCCTGAGTCTGGCCACCACCACATCCCCTGCCAGAAGTGATACACTCCTTAAAAGGTTGAAAAAACCTGGCAAAGCCTATTTTGGCTACAGTGTTGTAACGCCTGATTCAAATCTTATTTTTATTTTAAATGGGTGTATAACAATCTGATAGCTGAAATACATCAACTTTCTACCAGAATAAGCTGTCTGGCAAATACAGAATCAAGCATATTTTTAATAGAAAAGTTACTAAACTTGCATTAAATATGAAATTATTCAAGTATGAAAATGGGCAAATTGTAACTTTTTGACTTCTTAACAGAATGAGTTAGATGATTATCCACAGTTAGATGGTGTCTTTTTAAATACTGATGCAGGGTAAACCTCCACCCATTCATAATATAGCATAAGATGTTGCAATATTACATAGATGAAAATGAACTCTGGCATTAAACAAAATGTGGCCTGTTAACGGTCTTGTGGACTGAGGGTTCACACTGGCATGTAGTATTTTCTCATTATTTGAGATGGTTTGGGAAGAACAGTGTGCAGTATACTGAAACTCACAACGATCACCTGCTCTGGGAAAATAATTCTTGTGTATTCCACATGCTTCCTAAAATAGGTCAAATGGGATATAATTCAAGTGTCCAGTGTCAGGAAAAGAGGAACAGATTGCAGGTTTGGTTTCCAAATAAATAGATTCTGCTTTATTTAAAAATCTTAAGAGGTGAAATAGACACACTGTGCAAATACTATTTCTTCCAAGTTTTCAGATGTTGGCTTGTTAAAATTTTACAACATACCAATAAAAATTTCCAACCAAAATATTCTCTCACAAACCTGAACATAGCAGGCAAGTGTGGCTATTGAAATTAACTTTCACTTTACTTTTGAGCATCGTGACAAATGTTTTCCTATCAATATGAGGAAAAACTAGATGCAATTGTGTAACTATCAATCAGATTTAATTTGCAAGAAACTGTATGTTATTTTCCATATCACAAAATTACTCAAAGCAGCACCTTTGCGTTAGAGACCCTAGAGGTGTCGACAAACATACCCTTTCACCATTTGAAAAGGAGAGCAGGGGCTTGGGTGTGCATATCAGCCGTTACAATTTAACTGTGATATCTGTATGATCCAAGTTAATTGAACTGTTGTCAAAGCTCCCACTATTTTACTACATTTGTATCACTATGGAATTTTTAAGTCTTTTCTATATACTAGATTTTTTTTTTTTTTTTAAAGTCTTGAGATACCACTTAACTTTTCCCTTCTCCAGGGAAATATGAACATTGAACTCCATTCAGAACTCTTGTTTTGTGATGCTTGGGTTCCTGTACTTGGTAATTTAAGAACGTTTATTAAATGAATTCTTAGAATGTAAATTCTCTAAACTGTACTCTAGTAAAAGTTTACAAGCTAATGTGTTCTAGGAAAATGACAGCAGTGATTTTTAAAGTATTTATGCTTACTACATCTCAGCATCTTATTAATATTTTCCTTTTTAGTTCTTGTCCGTTTTGTGATTATGCTGGTTCTCAACATATGGGTCACAACTACAATACTCCGCTACAGGAAGACTGAAAAGACAGATTAGAAGACCAGTTCTCCACAGCGTATGGCACGTGTGCTAACAAACCCCACAGTGAAATCTGAACAGCGGACCACAGTTCCAGGCAGTCTTCTTCCTCCAAGCTTGTCTCGTATATCCCTAAAGATATTGAACGCAACTTGGCTAGGTTTTTATTACCAGTAATACTAATAGTAAAATACACTTCAGTTGAGCAGTATGTTTTTATTGGTCATTTGCAGCAAGTTTTACTTACCGTATTTGGGATTTTTTAATTGATATTTTATACATTCATATATCTATTTTTGTAACTCCACAATACTTTTTACTGATTAAAATAACACTTTTCAGTTTCCTTTCTATGTGCAGAGTGGAATTGTGTCCACACAGTTCATCCTCTTTCTGCATCTCATGAGTAGTGGCCCTGACAGCAGACTTTTCTCCTTACATTGGTAGACCTCTCTCATGATCTTACCCCTCTCTCTATGATCAGTAGTAATTAGAGGTTAGCCATGTGCACAAGGTAAACAAATAGAGGCAGACGGCAGTGTCCTTACACTGCATTGGTTTGTATAGCTGACACCTGAAGCAGAAGCAGTATAGCTGCATTTGCATAGCATACAGCACTATGGTTCAGCATTCAGGATTGAAGCACCTGTGAGTATTTCAAATGCACACTTTATCCAATTAAGAAGTCTAGATCAACCCACACAACACCTGCAGATATCACTCATTTCAAGTTAGTCATTTTTATTTAGACAAAGAGTACATTTCATTCTTTTATTGGCTTTCCAAGCCTACAACTGTAACCCCCCACTTGCTGACTGGTGCTTTTCCCCCTCTAATGCTGGTTAAAACATTTGTAGAGGCTGACAAGCATGCTACAGCTTTGACTTGGCTGAGATCAATAGTAGAGACTCATGTTTTAAGATCCACAAGTTCTAAATTTGATCTTTGCTGCTGATGACTCACCTCATTCAGAGTGTAACATGACTTGCGTATGTCAGCTCTGCTGTACTGAATTATTCTATAAGCCTCACTGTATTGTGGGATGTGAAAACTGCACTTGAATTTTACTTCAGACATTCCAATTATAACTTGGGTTTGTGGTGAAACAAAACATCAGGTTTATTAAAAACAAAAAATGTATTTTAAATAATGGCATTGGCTTATGACTGTTGGAAATACTATGTATGCTTTTTTTAACTGGCAATTGTTATATATTACTCTTATATATAAAGCTTACTTTATTTTTCCACCATGTTCTTCTTGTGGAAAACAGTGCCTTCCCTAAAAAGTTTTCACTGTAAACCTATCTTATTAAACTGCCAGTAGTGAAATCTTGGCCCCACTAAAGAGGCCTCTCTCCCCTGCTTTATTTCAGTAGGGCCATGATTATGTCCCAGTATGTCAAATCACAGTACCATACAGCAACTGGTTCTGCAGATGTGGACCCTTTTAAGTATAATCCCATTGACTTAGTTCTGTGCAGAGCTGAGGATTTTGCTTGTTCATGCCAGACTGCAGGATCAGGGCCTTAATACCAGAAAGCATAGATGAGTTTAAGTAGCCTCCACCAACCTTACAAAAGTGGCATTCCAATACACCTCCATGTATTTTGAAGTAAACATTACTTGATATTAACTTAATGGAGCACAATACAGATTTGTTTAGTTTTAATAGTCTATATAGACATTCAAGATGTCTAAATGTTGGCTATGTCAAAAGTAACTGAAAAAAGTGTATTTAATTTTATACTTCTAGGTTCAAGCTGTGTAAAACACTGTAAATATCTAAATTTGGTGGCATATGAGTGGTCTTTTTTAGACATTTATATCAATATTGATAATAAAAGAGTCTTATTCATGTAATGCAAAATAAACAAGTTGCTTTTTTTTTTTTTTTTTTTTTTTTTAAGGATGAAGCTCTTGATACTGTAACTTACATGCTGAGTGAAAATTAAACATTAATTCCAAATTGCAGTTACCTTTATCCCTGGCATCTGAAGTGCCATATAGTATCTTCACTGAAGCAGTTAGAGAACTACAATCAGATATCTTAAAGAAAACATATGCAATTCTTGTTGTTGCTTATTTTTAAACTTATGCTTACCTTCAATGACAAATTAACATTGTGAGGAAAGGATAACTTTACAGATTCCATACTCCCATCTCTTCTACACATCTTCCATGCTTACAAGTGTCTTTGATACAGTCAGGAAAGACCAAACTTGGTATATTTGATATTATCAATTTAAAAAACAACAACCAACCTATTCTCCGATATGTAAAATTTCATTTTCTTCTCCAGTGTGGTTAAGAACATTTATAGACAAATGAGTGGTGAAGCACTCTTGTTCATTCTTTCATTCAGAACTATCACTATAGAGACAGCCCCAGTGTTTACTAAGCAACAGGCCAGATAACAAAACAGAGGCGGTGGTTCAAAATCACTCCAATATTTGGAGGACAGCAAGCAACTTTATGTATTGGGTATGAAATAATACACTCATGTAATGGAAATGTGAAAGCTGGATTCACATTCGTTATCCAATTCAGCTTTTTTGGCCTGTCTGTTCTATTGGTAGGCTGTGCATTGGGGTTCAACTGGGTCTTCTTGAAGCATGAGCATTTCATTTTCTAAACTAAAAGTGCTGTTAACAGTCTGAATTCCAGGCCAACCTATTTAAATATGGGCATGTTACAAAATACTTGTCCATCAGAGCTGAGCAAAGCTTCGGTCCCCGATTCGATTTGGTGGAGATTCGGCCCAATTCAGTGGCCAAATCTCCACATCTGAATCAAATGAGAGGACCTCTTAATCTCTCCGAATCGAATTGGAACCCTCCAAATCAATTTGCAGAGATTCAGTGATTTGGACATCGACACAGCTTTAAACGTTTTTTCTACGTACCTCTAGGTAGCAGACGGCTCGTGAATGCTGCGATGCTGGGGCGGATGGAGTGTCCCACAGGAGCATGGGGGGCTCCCCAGTGCGCTTGACAGCAGACCTGGAAGTGGACCAGAAGCACCCCTGCCCAGCTCAGCAACTGGTGCCTCCTGGGCCTGGGGGCGCATCTGGGGTCCCCCTGCTGCCGATCGCTGAGCAGGGCGGGTGGGGAGTGCCCCCAGCATGCTCCCTGGCAGACCCGGAAGTGGAACAGAAGTACTTCCAGGTTCACCGCTGAGCATGTGGGGGCCCCCCCACACTCCTGTGGGACGCTCCATCTGCCCCACCATCACAACATTTACAAGCCACACCTGGTACCTCGAGGTATGTAGAAAAAACATTTAAAGCTGTGTCGATGTCTGAATTGCTGATTCTCTGAATCAGCATTGAATCTTCAGATTCAGCTGAATCGAATCGGGGCCAGTGATCCGAATCAACTAATTGAATCACTGTCCCCAATTTGGGCCGAATCCGAATCAAATACGGCCCGTTTCGTACACCCCTGTCCATGTATGTGCCAAACATCTACTTATATGAAAGAAAACCTGCCATTTCAGTCAGGTCTTTAGTGTCAAGCTGATGAGAGGAATTCAAAGAAATCAAAAAGCATTTTATTTTGTGCTTTACTGTTAAAAGGTGGAAGAAGGGGCACGGCTATTTTGTGACAAACTGGTTAGATAGTGGGGAATCTGAATATCATCTATATATAAAATAAGTCTATATTTCTGATGTTTTCAACAAACAGGAACATTGCATGCAATTGAGCTGCCCAGTGAATGCTGTTTCGATGGTGGCATTTCATCTGAAGCACTTTCTTTACACAAGTTGTGTAAGTGCTGCTAACACTTACCATTGTATCACAAAGCTGTTTTTGCTTGGCATTGCCCCTAGGAATACCGAAGGTAGCCAACCCCCACTGCATTCCTTTCTTTTCAGGAAGTTTGCCTTGAGGGTGAAGTCGTTTTCCAGATGTATTTTCCTGGCCCTATGAATGTTCCAAATGAGCTAACCCCTCACAGGAAGTATAGATGGCATTCCTCACACCACTGTGAGGTCAGGATGACTTATTTCTCAAAGTATGTGCTGGGATACTGTTGAACCAGATAAGGCATTTGACACCTATGTACTGATTTAGTAAAAAGGACACAAGTACCAACCTGAACCTTGTGCAGAATTTTGACACTTAAGCTGAAAAACAGCAATCCTGAAAGCCTCTGCTCAGCTGTTACCTAGCCCAGAAGTTGCCAAAGCTCCACAGGGTTCTTGGTTGTAGCTGTGTTGGTCTAAGGACATAGGCAAGCAAGGTTTTTGGTGTGTATTCATTCTGGTATGCAGTTATTGTTTGGTTTCTCCTACATATTTTCCATCAGGGAATTTAGTGCACTGGATGAGATATATTACATTTCTGGAGGTGCAGGTGTAAGACCCTGGAATAGTGATGGTTCTGTTGCGGAGTGCAGTTATTGTGGGGGTGGTGGAGATGTGTTGGCAAGTTTTAAATTTTTTTGTCCTGGTATGGTCTGGATCTATTTGGTGTGGTTTGGGTCATAGGGAGTTTGCTTCTGGTGATGAGGTTAGTGAGGTTTGGTGCTTGTTTAAAGGCTAGGGTGGATGGTTCTGGGAAGATCTCTTTAAATATTGGGTCGTCTTTTAGTATGGGTTGCAACTGTTTCAGGATTTTCTGTGCAGGTTCCAGGGAAGAATGTCCTAAATATGCCATAACTAATGGTGTGCGATTCATGGGTACTGCAGCAAATCTTCACGTAGTATCCGGGTCGCTCTTTCAGAAGTATGATCCATCTGTCTGGAGGAGTGTCCTTGTTAGGTAAAAGCCCTTTTGAGATTTGCAAAGTGATGATTCTGGGTGCTTTCCTCAGTGCAAATTCGGTGGTATCGGAGAGCTTGGTAGTATATTACAGCTTTATTGGTGTGTTTAGGGTGATTGCTGATTCTGTGGCCATGCTAAGACAAAAAGTGTAAAACCTGCCAACACGTGTTCACCACTCCTACAATAACTACACCCCACAATAGAACCATCACCATTCCTGGGTCTTACACCTGCACCTCCAAAATGTAACACATTTGCATCCAGTGCACTAAATTCCCTGATGGAAAATATGTAGAAGCCAAACAACAACTGCACAGCAGAATGAACGCACCAAACATCAAAGATAAAAATATCCAATTACCTGTGGGTGCACACTTCTCAAGACAACCACTCTCACTCCAATCTCTCAGTTCTAATCCTCAAAAGGAATTTACAAAACACCTTTTGTAGACAAACCTACAAACTTCACTTCATAAATCTACTGGAGACAAAACATCATAGATTAAATATAGACACTGGATTATCCTCATGGTACATTCTAACCTTCCTGCCGCTGATAACCCCAAGTAACCTGTCTGCATTTTACCAGCTACATTCTATCACCAGTTCAACACTCCCCCATCACCACCTGGCTCACACCTATTGTTTCCCATTCCCTCTGATCCTCACTGCCACGTATTTGCATTTTCACAGACCTGCATTTTGCATATTAGCTTCTATTCTATCCAGGAGAGTACACAAAACAACAGACTCTCCCTATGCCTGAAGAAGGGTGTTCGTGCCCAAAAATTTGCAAAGAACAATTTTTCCAACTATTTAGTTGGTCTAATAAAAGATATCACATCTACCCAAAGAACCTTGTCTGCCAAAGCTCCATATGCACCTTACTTTTTGACTTAAACATTTCACCAGATGCTTGGAGTTTTTCCTCTGCACGTGTCAAGAAGTGCTTCAAGTCTCATGAGGACTGAGCAGCTTACTAGTGCCTGTTTCATGCTTAGACACTACTGGGATATAGCCACCAAGAAACTTAGGGTGCCTATACATGAACACGAAGGCTGCTCTGACACCCTGGAATTCCAGTGCATCAGAGCAGACTTGATTAATGAAGTCTGCTGGAGTGTGGCAATTGCTGTGCTCTAGCAACCTCCTGTTTCATGTATCAATGTCCCTGCACTTAAAAATGGTGGTGGGAGCACTTTAACTAAAAGTAGTTGAATGAGCTATAGTTCAAGTGCCCCCACTGCCATTTTTACGTGCAGGGACGCTGATACAGGAGATGTGGTGATGCTTTAATTAGAGCAGCTCTTGGAGCCACTTTAATTAAAACACCACTACCCCTACCCCAGAGCATGTGTAAAAGTGCCCTGAGATTTCTACTATTTAAGTCCTTAGGGATTGTGTTTCTAATCCTTACCTGAGAGCCAAAAGAAATGTTTTCACAAGTCTGCTTGTTTTTTGCCTGGATGAGGAAGAAGAATATTCATTCCCTGATCCACATGGGACAGCGTTTTAGGTGCCATGGCTAGCACACGTCTATCATCCACAATACTCTTCCTGGATCAAGGTTGGGGGAAAACCTCAAAACACTTTAAAACAACTGTGAAAATTTTCTCAATGTAACATGGTGTTAACAAAGCCCTTCAGAGCTATCTTTTTCTGAATTAATAAACAATTGTTACATGTTACATCTTACCACTTGTTCACAGGAAAGTGGCTGTGCAGAAAGATCAAGTTTGCAACAAAGGTAAGAATTAGTATTGCACAAACTCAGTGGTTTTGTAAGCATTCATGAAACTGACTAGCAGCCCATGGGCCACGTGCAACCTTTGAGGAGTTAATCTGCAGCCATTAGGTTTCCCCAGCTGCTGCTTCCCTTGTTGCTCTGGCTGCTGCTGCAGCGACTCTCCAGGCATCCTCTCCCTTCTCTGGCTTTCACTTCCTGCACCTGCCCCAGTGCAGCCTGCAGTGCCTGGGGAGCCGCACAGACAAGGAAGTGGGGGAGGCCACCTGCCCACACAGTGCAGCAGTGGGGAGGCAGGCAGGGGGTGGGGGGCTGCCCATTCACATGTTGCTGGGGGAGCTTGCAGGAGATCCCTGCTGGTGTGGACCCCATGGCATGTGGCTCTTGGCCACTAAGAAGTTGGACAGCCTGGAACTAAAGGCTAAGCTTGTCTGGTTCTGAACAAGGAAGACCCAACACAGACAATAGGAAAAGTGGGGTCAAGTGGAACTGAACTGGGCATACACCAAAAGGCTACGGTTCTGGTTTGTGCAATGGGGGGTTGCTGGGAGGAGCTGAAATATCAGGAATAGGAGGCTGAACTTCAAAAATAGCTGCAGTGGTCATAATTAAAATCTTCACATTTTTCTCAGAGTATATTATGCTCTGTACCTAGAACTAGCAGTAACAAGCAGTTTCTTAATGAACATAAGATTGGAAGGGGCCTCCTGAGCCAGAAGCAAGTCTCTTGGCATTTACAGCTTGTTGAGCTGTGCCTGTCTGTATGATTGCAACTGTGCCATGGCACTTGATTGTTGCTTGATAAGACCTTGTACTCATACTAAGGACATAAAGATTCAAGCCTACTATGCACCAGTCTCCTCTAAAATGTGGGATGCAAGTGGGCAGGAACTCAAGGAAGAGGGAATGGAGGCCAGGTTGCAGAGAATGTATACCCGGACAACACATCTCAAAGAATTCCGGTTACTGTTAAGCATTAACTTCACTTTCACCTTTGATCAGGTGTCCATATGCACGCTCCACTGGAGGTGACTCCCAAGCAGTGACAAGTGGCATCACACCTGAAGGTCTCTGAAACTGCACAATGTTTGTGAAGGTGTAGCTATAGCTCCATGAGGCTGCTTTCTAGCTTTGTTTGGTAGATTTGTCTCTCAGCAATGCTACTTCAGCCCTATGGGAGTGCACTTTATTAGTTGTAGGGCTTGCACCTTTACTATTTAATAGCATGTCTTTACACTGTTCACAAACTTTTTAGAAAGTCTTTGGGCAGAGACTACCCTGCCATTCATCCTTTCTACTATCAGAAACAAAGAGTCTAGGAAATTAAGTACATGTTTTTGTCCCTTTTAAATAGGCCAAGGCAGGTCTTGTACCCAGGGTATAGAGCAACAAGGTTTGGGTAAAATAAGAAGTGGTTTAGGTCAGAGGTTCCCAAGCACCGGGCCATTGCCCGGTACTGGGCCACAGTGGGTTGACTGCTGGGTCATGGCACAAGCCTCCTGCTCAGATCCTCATCTGTCCACCCAGGCAAGTGGCTTCCAGGGTTAAAGTGGAGCTTCTGGGGTTAAAGCGGAGCTTCTGGGGTTAAAGCCGCGAGGTGGGGCAGCCCTGGGGAGGGAAACAGCCGGCTCGGTGCACCCCACCCTGCTCCCACAAGGCCGCAGTATAAAAAAAAGTTGGGAACCACTGGTTTAGGTAACTGTTTAGACTTTGTCAAGAACTCGGGGGAGTGCTCAGAGAGACCTTGTCCAGATGGAAACCTGAATTGGAGGGACAGCATCAGGGGGCATACCTCAAGATGGTAATAACAATCAAGAAGGTAACCAAGAAGATAAACAAAGCAGGGAACAGCTTGCCATTGGCTCAAACAATGGGCTTGGGGAATTACTACTTCAAACAAGAAAGGGGAAGAGATTGGAATAGGGCTTCCCATGTCTGTGATCTGGTTTGTGAACCTGGTTGTGTCCTCCTTCCCTGGAGACAAGTGTAGCCAGGAAGAGATATGGGACAGCCCAGGCCATTAAACTAGAGCCCTTGAGACCCATCTCAGTAGTTTATCTTTCAGTTGCAAGGAGCCCTGGTCAATAAGGCCACACAGGCATGGATGCACAAGGCTTCTGAAGTCAAGATACCATAAAACATGGCCCATGGGATGAGCATCTCACATACCAATGTGTGTCCTGGGATGATCCTCCAGGTTCCCTGTGGAAATCAGGAAGGGTGGACAGAGCACTCTGAACCCTGGCTGTCTTATCATCGACAAGGAGGTAGTGAAAATGAGTGGTTTATTTTTATGAACATTGCTAATGGCATCATTGCCAAGAGAAAATCTTCAGGAGTTCAATGTTATCAAAGAAGGCAGACAATAGCAGTTTCAGACTTTTACAGCATGTCTGGTGAAGCCATCTGGCAAGTGCTATTGATTGTTCTAAAGCTAGACAGTGTGGTGGGGTCATCATCTCCCCTTTCATTTGTGTTGGTGTCCTAAGCTGGTGGCTAGCTGTCTAAGTACAAAGACTGATTTTGCCAGAGGGCTAGAGGACTTTTTCTGGTGCCATATTTGCAAGCTCCTTAGCCTGATGCTTTTGGTGGTATGTTTTCCATATTGTGCGTCTGCAGCCTTGTTAAAAACTACTCCAGACCATGAAATTTCATTAGCAAATGAGCACAGGGCTGAAGATTTCTTTTTAAAAGAGTCTCTTATGGGTAACCTACCCCTAGAACTCCTCCTATCCTTTACCTCAGATTCTAGGGTTTATGGTCTAATTTTGATGCTGAAGATTGCTAACTAGAGTTCTCCGGAGGTCCCCTGGAAAAAAGACTCTCCTTGACCAAGGCTTCCCCATTAATTTGTCTAGGTGGTAAATCAGTAGATTTATCTCCTTTGCTTTTGCAGGCTTTGCAAGTGAAAGGCTTTTGCCAAGCTGAGAGATTCTCCCAAACAGTAAAGGCCCTTAACAGCTATCTGGTTCCCCATCATTTCAAGGCAATACTTAAATCCAGGCAAATTCAACATCCATTCTTGCATTTTTGGTCCAAGGAATCTTCTCTTTTTCTTTTACAAGCAACAGAAAAGAAAAAGAACTCTAATGGTCTAATCAACTAACATTTAAGGAAGTAAGAGTTTACTGTAGTCTGTTGGCTAACAGCAAAAAGCTCCATCTCAAGCTGAAGGGCAGTTAAGAGGAACAGGGGGTATTAGCAGGCATGCTCTGCTAGGTCCTCAGTGCAAGGTAGAGTGGCAGGGCTCTTTGATCATACAAGTTTTGCTGACTAAAACTGTCTCTGAGCTTACATGCCCAAAGAATGTCTGCATCGATAGTGGAACATACATATGGCAACTCAAAGAAGAACTGGGGAATGTCATAGTAATACTGGTTACTTGCAAAGACAAAACTAAATGCAATTTAAAGTATATATAACTATATATAATATATATACCTTCATAGGTAGAGGTGAACATAAGCATCAAAGCTGCTGCCAGCATCAAAGATTAAGTTTCATTATAAAAACACTAAACCCCAAATTAGAGACCCAATCATACAAAGCCAAAGGAAAAGTAATTTTTTTAAAATTAAGCGTTTTCCTGGAAAATGTACTTCTGGAGATTCCCTTTAATAGGAAAACCAGTACTCATTTCAATGGAGACACAGGAGTGGCTCTGGCCCTACGCAGCTCTTGAATCCCTGCTAATGTACAGGCACCATCCACTTGATGCAGATTTCTTTGAGCTTTCCCATTACTGTCGAACTTCTTGTCTTCCGTGTGTATGTATATATATATTTTTTTTCCAATTAATTACCAGCTTCCCAAGTTGAGGAACTGTTTTACCTTACTCAAGTAGTTTATTTAAAAATAGATATATATTTATATATATATATATATATATATATTTCTCCAATTCAGAATAGGATAGAACTTCCCACAATATAACAAAATCTCATATATAAAATATTTACTCATTCAGTGAATGGAAACAGTTTTACTGTATACATTTTTAAACTGTTTTATATGCAAATATGCATTACCTAAAAACACGCTGTACTTATGTAAATCAAAACAAGCATGGAAAGGATAAACAACTCTTGCTGTGTATAGGTCTAATTCTTTAACAGCAATGATCTACCCATTTTAGTATTGAATGTAAGAATGCACAAACAACACTAAATTAAGGGTGCATAAACAAAGCTGAGGACATATCAGGTACATTACCCCATATTAGAAATAAAAAAATAACTATATATATTTCCATTACCTATGGGGTTCAAAGTCCACTTGTCATGATAGTGTTATACAAGTTATAGTTCTACCCTTCCAAACATCTCAACACTGTTTCTAAAAAAAGCTGAAGTGAAATGTCTTCCTTCATTGAAAAAGTAGATCCTATTTTAAATTACCACCCCCCACTATATATATATAATATATATATAAAAGAGAGACCAAGGAGGAAGCTACATAGTTCTTTTACTGTCAATATGTTTAACATAGCATACTGTAGTTGTATAAAACATGCATTTTCTGGGATAGTTATGAACACACCATGAATGAGCCCACATAAATTATATTTTTGTACAAGTCCAAGTAAAAAACAAAATCAGATGAAATGTCTCTGAGGCCCTCTTTCCCAGCTATAAGTTCTCAAAACACACTACTGAAATACTTTCTATCCCTACAGCTATGTGCTAGAGAACTGGATTCTTAAATTTAAAATACATCTACAGTATGTTCCAGCCTCCTTTAAAGTTTGTGACAGTCCTTGGGTATTGTATTGTGAAATGTAAAAATAGTCACAGATTTTTTTCCAGAAATAAAAACATATCTAGGAGCATGTAAAACAAGGCAAAATGAAGTTTCATAGCACTTAATTAAGGGTAATATAAAGTCAGTGACTAATATTGGGGTTTGTAAAAAGGGCTGGGTGGCCAGTTACATGTACACATGAAAGATATATTAGTTCCAATACTATCAGTTAATCTTTCTGTAACCAATACATTCCCCCTCCCTCAGAACCATTCAATATACATTCAAATTGGCTGACATTGATATAATTATGTGTAAAAATAGTGCACTATTTTTTCTGCCACAAAGCAAATTTGTGTCCTAAGAGCTGGTAAACGTTCTTCATTTTTTTAAATATAGAGAATGGGCAAAGAACTTAAAAATTAAATTAAGGCATTCAGATAGGTAAAACAGAACTGCCCATTATGAAATAACTGAAACCAGTATATACTTCAAACTTTTCATTATACTAGCTGCTTAACACCGGCATGCAGCTTTTGATAAACATGTATGGATGATATAAACTTCAACATTATGGCTTTGTACAAGTGCATAGTTGCAACTGCAGTAAGTAATGGTATCTGATTAATATGCATAAAAAAATAAAGTGGAAAGTTTTTTTAAAACCCTCTTGCAGTATTACAGTACAATATATATACACAGTATAATGGTCACTTCTTGAAGATGAAAGTCCATACCACTTGGTGGATCTTTCTCCCATTCTTGCAAACATGCCAATGACATCTGTCTACAAAAGGTGAATCTTCTCAGTTTAAATTTTCATTCTTTTCAATCCTGTATGAAATGTAGTGTGCATGTATGTGTCTTGACAAGAAAGCTTTTGTGGAAACAAAGTCTAATGGGTTACCTAAAAGTATCCTTATACTATTACTAACCGTTCCTCATTTGATCGGTCACCCCAAGGGATTACAGGAAAACCCTCAGAGATTAGTAATTTATATTGCAGCAAAAATTGTAAACCTCTGATATATAGAGTACAGTCTCTCAGGAAAATATATATTTTAATAAATTTTGGTATATGTTTCAGTCTTATTTTAATGGGAAGAAAATTATCACCTTGAATTGTGACTGCATTCACAGAAGGCAGTTAGCTGAAAAAGAAGAAAAGAGAGTTTTGTTCAGGAAATGCAACACATTTCAATCTGCTGAAACTTGCTTAGAATTTTTATTTAAACTTTTATTTACTGCTTTTGCACACTTGAAAAATATGCTACTCATCTGCAGTAGGCAGCACTCTATTAAAACTATTGCTTCCCTATGCATTACAATCTCAAATGTAGTATAATTTAAGGACAGCCACATTATATCACTAACAGAATTACTCAGTAAATGAAGCACACAGCTGCAGAAAAGCTGACTATAGCTGTCATAGTCCTTTTTATAAAAGTAAATTACACCTAATAATTAATCAATATTTTAATTTATTATTTTCTGATGCCAATCTACTATATTCACTTGGTTAAAATTTGGTCTTGCAATGTAAAACACGATACTGATTTTATGAGATTATTAAACACATTTCCCAAGACAACATTTATACTTCAATAAGATAATATAACTATTCCAGTTAATAGTTTATTCTTAGGTTGCATATTCCAAGAAGCAATTCAAATACAAACATTACAGTTCATTAACAACTAACTCATTTCACTGAATTACAAATGAAATTGCTGTATATTTACTATAGCATTCAAGGGATTCAAATCACTACATTGCAAAGGCAATTTATTATGCTTTCTTCAGGTGCATTGTTAGAAACTCCAAAAACACAGCACTGCAAAGGAAAGCCAAGTCATAAATATGTATTTTCACAGTACTGGTAGAAAAAACAAAATATAGAGATTTGTGGATTTCATGTCTGCTAGCCATAAACAAATCATTTCACTTTAAAAGGATATTTTTACTGAAAACTGATACATCTTCAACACTACAAATAAAACAATTTTGAGGAGTAAAGGTGATCTCATGAGCTTGTCAATTCTTATTTGTAAAGATTAACAGTGCTACCACTGCTTCAGTTTTCTCCCATACAAGTAGGGCTGGCAGACATGAATTTTGAAGAAAGAGTTATAATTAATGGCAAAGACTCATTTAGGCTTAAAAGTGGCTCCTTTGAAAATACATATTTTTCAAACTGACCAGAATCTCATTTTTTAATGTATGAAAATATTAAAATGAGATCTCCTGTTTTCTCAGCTTTAAGAATCAGAATCCAAACAGCATGCTTTTTTTAAAAAAGCAAACAATTCACTCCTCACTATTTCAATTTACCCCTTTTACTTCTTCAGAAATCAAAAACATTGTCATCATCATCATCATCAATATCATCAACATCATCAAATGACCAATCCCAGTCTTTAAATGCCAAATCAAGCAATCTGCAACAGGAGGTTTGATATTTAATATGGGCCACACTTTATAAAAATATTCCAAAGTGCAATGCTGTCATCATGAAAAAAATACTTTGCATACATCAGTGATTCTCAACCATAGTGCAGCCAGATCCTTTGAAGGATGTTATGAGATAAGCAGATAAACTCGGGCTCAGGCTGATCTCTGCCTGGCCAGTCCCCTGCCCCCACTGCCTGGCCTCTCTGCAAGGAGGTAAACACTGCAATAAATAAATTAGCTTTTGAAACTGGGTGCCATTCAGTTTACAAAAAAGTTATGGCGGGGTGCCTTGAATTCAAAAAGGTTGAGAACCACTGGCACATATGGTTCTCTGCATTCACATTTCATGGTAAGTAGTGTAATGAAAAGACTGGATATGAAAAAAGGTTAACTTTAAACAAGAACTTTTATTCCTCTACACCCCATATATGTCCATATATATAATATTCTAGATATTTTTACTTTAATAAACTAGAACAAATTAATGCTCATGTAAGTCAGTACTATACTCTAGAAATACTGTTGGAACAGGTTACCCAGAGAGGTGGCAGAAGCTTCATCCTTGAAGATTTTCAAAACCCAGCTGGACCAGGCTTTGGCTGGGATCATCTAGTTGGGGATGGTCCTGCTTTGAGCAGGGGGTTAGACTATATGACCTCCTGAGGTCCCTTCCAATCCTAATTTTCTATGATTCTAGGTTAATAAATCGCTACGTGGCATGTAGATGCCATTTAGCTAATTCATAGGATTTTTTTAAACGTTTCAATTTAAAAGATTAAAGTTCCATACAAGACAACTGCCCTTTGCTGTTCTTGATGTCCAAGCTGCAAGTTTTAGGCACATCTGCTAGCTCTTATTAAATATAAGATCTACCAAGTCTTTTCAGTTCATTTAAATACCTGATAGCTCATACAACAGTCAAAATAAAATAAAATAAAAATGAAAAGAAATCTGGTCTCTAGTTTATGAACAAGTAAAACTTTACGTTACTATCCAGAATTTAGGAGGTTTTTCCCTCCCAAAACCCAATTAAATGGATTTTACTTCAGGATCTTAAACATCAAAGCAGGGAAGGGGAAAAATGCTCACTTACAGGAAAATGAGACCTCAGAAGAGAAAGTAAATGTCTGCCATCATCTTTAGACGCAGGAGCTGAATCTACACATGAAATGAATGTGCAGCAATAAACTCAGAGCCGTGTCAGCTAGTCCCGGGCGCAGCGTCTACACATGCACCAAGGACAGCAGCATGCTGCATCAGAGTGGAACAGCCCTGGGCTGACAGCAGGCTCAAAAGGGTCAGACCCCAGGGTGTGGGTGGCAGCATTGGGCAGTGGAGGGGCTGGCTGGTGCACAAGGATGCTGAAGTGCAGGGCTAGGCAGAAGGCAGCTGCAACACTTTAGCACTCTCATGCCCTAGCCAGCCCGTCACCATCTACACATGCATTTTGGCAGAGTAAATGACTCTGCCGTAAGATAGTACTGTCAGGGACTGTCCCCGACAGTACTATTTTACGGCGCAGTTAATTAATTTACTGTGCCCTAATACCTGTGCACGTGTAGTGACACTTGAGTGTGGAGCTAATTAGTCAGCTCTGCAGTAAAGCACATGAATACATGCACCCTGCATGTGTTTGCTACATTTAACTTACATGCATTAGATCAAACAACATGGGCTAAAATTTTGACCTTTAAGAAAAGCTGTCACTTAAATTGTGATAATCATTTATTCTATGAGCTATTCTACAGCAAGTTATTATTATAATCTGAAGAAAATAAAGTTGCCATTCATCTGGTGAGGCTAAGGTTCACCACTTCTTCCTTGTCACAATTCAATGCCCCAATTAAACTGACAGTCAGAAACTTGATGAGCTGTGTGTGGAAGCTGGTCTGCTTACTTTTAAATTATTAAAAGCAACAGCAGCAATGAGAAACTTAGGGAAATATCAGGACATTCAATTGTTATAGAGCAAAATACTTAATGGCTTTACTGGACAACAACTGAACTCTTTTTCTTATCCAAATATACAGTGGAAAAATACAAATTCCTGATTGTGAACCTCTACATAAAACAGCCATGAGATGCATTAATTCATCACAGTACTCACAATTATTCACCAGAAATCCACACTTTGCCTTTGATAAATATTTAAAAACTTAATCAAACTAATTTGACAAGCTTACACTAATAAGATGATGGATGGGATCAGGCTTTTTCATCTTTAATACCTATGATACTACAATACTGTTCTGCACAATTATTTAGGCATGAATAAAATGTTTAAAAGCACAGGAAAATAAAGAATACTATATGATTTTTGTTGTCATTCTGACATATTTCTCAGAATATATTTAATTACAATATCCTAGCCAAATTCATTCCTGGTGCATCTCTCTTGAAGGCAGTTAATCTGAGCAATTATGTAGTTACTTTAGCTGACAAAAGTACTAGATTCAGGTTTTAAAAAAAATACAGCCATATTAGAGCAAACATTATACGTGGGTTATGTATGAAAAACGTTTATAATGGCAATACACAAGCATATAGAAAATCCAAAAATGACAAATTAATATGTGCCTACTGTCAGTCAAAAAATATTTTAGATGAATTATTTCCAGCTTTTCAAAAATAGTTACCCAATTGACTTTTGTATATTGTCATTTACAGATTTTTAGTTAGTTTACATGGTTAGTAGTAACCACATGCATAGCTGGATGAGACCCAGGTCCCTATTACTTACTGTTGCTATCGCAAAATATACAGTATAGAAAAAAAATCAGTGAAGAACGATTCGAAGTGGAGGACCAGAACTAAAAAAATTAGTAACAAAAATGTGAGAGAAAAATTTCTACATGTCCTGTATTATACAAAAACATGTAAAAATATCACAATGAAGATGGAAGTAGATTGTTATACAAAAGGGGAGGAATCTAAAATCTAATGTCTGAAAACTACTGTGTGAAGTCACAGTCTATACCACTTCAAAGTTCAACAATAGTAAGTTATGGAATGATAGTTGTTCATTAGATTACAAATGATATGCAAAATGAGCACACCTTACTTAGTTTGTGCACTCCAATAATAGTATTACCTGCTCTAGGCTTCACTCCAATTATATAGGCAAAATTTTGTTTCCTGATTGGTTCAGGAAAACATTTATCTTTTTTTTTTTCTTCTTTTGCCTTTTCTTCTAACTTTGTCTATCCATTAAAATGTTAATTTTAAACACATGAATTTTAAAGCATTATTAAAAATAAAATCCCTCTAAATATATCTATCTAATCAAGCTCTCAGAATGTACATAAAAGCTTAAAGACCTCAACTTATTACCCCATTAAATATTATTTTAAGATTCCTCTCAATCAATATTTATTCTCAAATAAAAATATCAGTGTTTACTTAGGTAGCTAGCCATTAGCAGTTAACTAAATTTGGTAAATAGACACTCCTAGACATGACTGTCAGGAAGTTACTAAAAGATCCTTTTTGGCACAGTTTCTCTAGAAGCAACCTTAGCTTTAAGGATTTAGAAGGGAAGTTTGATTTCAAAGATAATTTACCAGAGCTGTTCAGGTGCTAAATGATGGATGAACATTCTGCTAACATTAACTTTAATAACTAGAGCATCAGCAGTAACAGTTCTCTCTGTTTTCTCTCTTTTTAAAATTAGGATAATTCTTCAGAAATCAGCTGCCTCAAGGCAATACATTTGCCATCTCTCCCTCAATGTCTGTGTAAGAAATTCATAGGCTGTATCTAGACATTTATCATGATGACTACTCATGTTGTACAAGGCTGTTTCAGAAACTAATGGCAAAACCACTGTCCATGATATAGTCTGTGACAAAGTGGGAAACTACACAGAAGCTGGGAACAATGATGGCATTATTGTTTCACCAAGCATGGATTCACTAATGGCAAGTCACGCCTGGCCAACCTGACTGCCTTCTATGATGAGATGACTGGCTCTGCAGATGAGGGGAGAGCAGTGGATGTGATAATACTTTAGCAGTCTCCCACAGCATTCTTGTAAGCAAGCTAAGGAAGTACAGGTTGGATGAGCTAAGGAAGTATGGTGGATAGAAAACTGGCGGGATTGCAGAGCTCAAAGTGCAGTAAATCAATGGATCAATGTCTATTAGCAGCCAGTATCAAGTGGAGTGCCCCAGGGGACAGGCTTAACTCTCTGCTACACAGAACTATATACAGTGCTAAAAATGATAGATTTGTCGAGGGCTCTCAAGCAGCACTGTATTTGAGAAATACTATATTTAGTTGAATAAAGGGTGACCCTGATTATAAAATGACCCGCCCCCAATAATTAGGTTCTATATATGGAAAATGTATAAATTTGTTTATCGCTTTCCAGACACAGAGTCTAATTATTGGAAGTTTGCCTTGAATTTGTTCCCTTCCTACTGCTACATCAGGGAAAATGAATCTGGGGGTACAGGTAGCCCTTTGCTCTCTGCTTCTTCCCAATTTTTTAACCACATAGTTCATTGGGCTGGGCTCCAGCAGAGTCAACAGCATTTCAAGCCATCGCAACCCTACAGTTCAGCACTGCTCAATATGTATGTGTGTGTACTCCAGATACCCCTCACAAAGTATCCATGTGCTAATTAGCGCCCCCACTCACAAGTGGAACCAGGTTTTCTTGTCATGAGATCAGGGATCCTTTAAATTATATGCAGATAAGGCGCAGGGCAACTTGGTCTGCCTTTACTTCATGGAGGGTGGGGCCACATTAATCATATGCACCAGACTGAGAGAAGGGCCAACAAAGGGATTCTAGGTGAACTGTAAGCAATGTCGTGGCTCACCATGACTTGAAAGAGTTAGTGGTGAGGGGGACTACGCGTAATGGGCACTACCATATGCCTTATTCAGAACTACACTAACCTAGTCTTGTGGTAGGTTCCCATCAGCATGTTCACCCAATGTTGGCCATGTGTTTTATAATCATGCTTAGTGTTGGCTGCATTTAAACAACTTCACAGTTGGTTTCCATTGCTGAGCAAATGCTGCTTTTGGCAGCAGCTTAACAACAGACCACATATTTAGTAAAATTTCCTTGTATGTGATTATAAGACGAGGAGCTTTTTTTACCATGCCAATAGGAGGAAAAAATCGTGTCTTGCATTCAAGTAAATATGATAATGTGATGGCAAAGTTAAGGATCAGCATATTGTATATACACGGGGGAAGATTAACAGTATACATTCAGCTAAAAACTTATGTTTCCTGACTTGAGTTCTTAGTGTTCTACTTTCAACCTTCAATGTTCTATTTGACCTAAATGTGCTATTAACAGAGGCATTAGGTATTACCTCCAAGATACGGCCTTTTATCAGAATATAATTTGCATCAGTAATAAAACCTGAACTGAAGGAGTATACAGCTAGTTGGAACAGTTTCTATGCAACTGGAATCAATCAAAGAGAGAGGACAGTTTGTGAAAATGGGTTTTTTGGGGTGGGGGGGCAGGGAGAGAAATAAACATTCATTAGTACTGCAAAAACATCTTGTTACAATTCAACTGATAGTGAAAAATAGCATTTAAAGTGTTACAAATTAACTTATTTCTTTGGTACTGAAATTTGACATAACTTAAAACTGCTCTGTAATATGTAGATATCCTTCTGAGTGGATTTGCAATACTCATTAAAATCTATCATTTCAGTACTTCAGTACTGAAAAAGAAATAATTGCTACTATTTTGTCTCATTTCACACCAAAATACATATCTAAAATTGGCTACAGTGTAAATATATATTGTCACATAACTTAAGACTGATTCTTGCAGCTATGTATCCCTGCACAACATGTAATCTTACAGCTAGGCAGAAGGCAGGGTAGAAGTGCACCTTGTATAGACAAACTAAATCAGAGATGCATAAGCCTTCATGTGCAAGATCTATTTTATCAGATGCTGTCAGTTCTTGCTCATGATAGGTTATATAAGGTGCATTTCTACCCTGCCTTCTGCCTGACTTCAGATGAACATGGCCAAACTACCTTTCTCTGTTTTATAGATAGATTAGACATACATACATCTGAGCAAGGCTCGCCTCAGTGCAGCATCTACTAGCAGGCAAACATGGAATATTTACCCTATTTTGGGGTAGATTTTGAAGGTTGCCCTAAAGTCCTTGTTGTTACAGTTGACTTGCTACTAATACTCAAGTAAGCTAGCTGAAGTTAGCTAATGTCTCTATTGCATTAAAATATAGTGCAATGGAAACATTCCTTAATTAAGCTAAAAATTATCTTCCATCTCTTATGTGAAGTTAAGTAGGACAGACCTGAGGGGGGGTCTAAGATGAGGAAATGACCTGACACAAATTTTACTTGCATGTAGACAGACAGAAGATAAGGCAGGACAATCTATTATTTACAGTTGTTCTTTAGCAGGGATAGATAGCACTAACAGGGTACTTTATATATTCAAAAGGACTCTAAACCACACAAACACACACACATATAGTACATACAAAAAGTTATATTAAAAATATGATTACAGTTGGAAAGTCTATTACTCGAAGTCACAAAATGCAAATCAGTAAGGTTGCCTATGCAACATTCAGTCCCTTTCTTTGTGGATGCATTCATATTCAGTATTATTTTTTCCCAATGAACTGCTCTCGGAGGCCAGACAATGCTCTGGGAATCAAGGTTGTGTAGTTTGTGAGGCTGTTGTCTGTAAGACCAATTATTTCATCCTTGTATCTCATTTGAAGAAGTGCTACTTTTACAATCATAATATTCTTTTCAACAGAATTTGTGGAGAATTTCACTCTCTCTCTCTTTTTTTTTTTTTTTTTTGAAGGCAGGCTGCAAATATGGAAATTCTCTTTTGCAGAATCTTAGTAACATTATTGGCAGCAGGCCGGGAACATTTAGCTCTACAGCACAGACTTCTCCTTCTTCTATCCCAGGCTCTGGAAGGTAAGGTAGCACTCTCTATTGATCTCCAGCATGCTCTGGCTCCTAGTCTCATGTGTCCCTTCTTAGACTTGTAATAGGATCGTGCCTTCAGGGGTTGCTGTGTCACCCCTTGGTGTCCATGTGGCTCCAGACCTACTTGGGCTTTTCTGGATACCCTCCCTTTTCTCTCTCCTGCCACGCCTCAATGTCATCAACTAATGTATGAAAAAGGAGCTGCCCCCATGCCCCAGGTTATGCCCTGGCCCTTCTTTCAAACAGTCTGCTCCTCTTGGATCCCACGGTTCCCAGTCTCACTTTTTGAGAGCTAAGTGAGCCTTCTGGGCCCATCCAGACCTTATGGTTTCTGTTACCTCAAAGGCTAAATTTGTGGCCTCCATCCATCCCTTTAGCTATGCCCACACCTCACAAATGTTACCCATTATAACCTCATTAGGCCACTTCAAGGCCAACACACCCTTGTTGGGGTGTTTGCTTTCCAGGTTTGGTCCCTCTTATTTATCTGGATGCCACCCAGTCTAGGTCCACTACGTTGAACCTGGCTTCTGTGCCCCAGACCTGATCATGCTCCTTGGGCACTAGGTCCCTCACCCTTTTCTCCACCTCTCTTGAGCTGCTGGGCCTCTGGCCCTTTTCTTGTCCTCCAGCAATATAATAGCTTGCACCCCATCCTGGTAGGCTCAAGCCTTGTGCCTCCCTGGCACCCCAGGACATCTGGTCCTGGCAGCACTTTGAGCCCAGCTCCTGGCAGGGCTCAAAAGCAACCACGTGCCCCTTGGGACCTCCACATCTTGCCTTTTTCATCCCACCCAGTCCACTAGTTTAAACCACGAACCAAAAATTAATCTTTCTGGCTGTAACAAGACTCTGCGCTCACCAGCTATACCGAACTCTACTTATCCTGTGTCCTGGCTCCCAGTGAGCCTTCTCCTCCTTGTCTGTAGGTCCCCATAGCAGCACAGCCCTTTGGCTGGAGAGCTCTTCACCCTTCAGCCTCCCAGGACAGACTGCCCTCTTGGCTCAGACTCTGAGGTTATATGCCCTCCAAGCTCTGTCCCCTTCCGGTAAGGTGACCTATTATCTGGCCTGACCACAGGGCTGTTTATTAACCCCAACCTTGCTGGCTGCCTTTGTGTGGTTCACAAAAACTCTTCCCTTAAAAGGGCCCATTTCATTTCCCTGTAACAGGGTAAGAATTCCCTGTTACAGATTCCTCATTCAAGTCTCTTAGCTCGTCTAATTCTAGTCACCCTCAATTCACAGGATGCTTGTGAGATTCTCAGGTCTCTCCATCCCCACCCCCCCATTCTCCAATCAATTCCAGTCTTCCCCCATACCACCAGCAATCATTCCCTGGTGTTACAACAGGAAGCATTAAGCAGCCTTAAGTACAGATGGTGCTACCTGCCTACTAGGTTTAGCAAACAGATTAAATATGGGAAATGAAATCCATTCCTTCACATAGCTTACTTAATGTGATGGTGGAAGTTCACATTTTAATGATCATAGTAGAGATAAAAAATGCAGCAAAACATATCTATGAACTGACCATATTCTGAATTATACAATCCAAAATACCAAATTGACTGTGTTTAAAATCATTATATTTAATAGCACTTGTTGCATCACCTTGGTTTGTTTGGAGGAAGCTGTCGGCTTGGCCGTCTGACAGACTGGTTTGGCTGTACCTTCATGGAAGTTCTAGGAGAAGATCGAGCAAAAGAGTCCGGGGCTGGAGGCTTTTTTGGAATCTTTTTCACCAATCGGCTGACCCATTTCTGCTGTTCCTCCGTAGAATTGGCTAACAGTAGTAGATTCTTTGCCGTTGAAATATCATAGTAAACTGTAATGAGAATTTTAAAACAAAATCTCCATATTAAACATTTTTATGGGGACTAATGTTAAAAACTAATGGCCAGAGCCTTGCATTCCCACAAGCAGCAAATAATTGCTATCAAGTGGTAGAACAAGAAACTGGGATATAGTAGTCAGCTGAACCACCTTGATCACAGTGATGCCCTGAGCAAAGTTTATGACAGTGTACTTTCAGCATGCCTCATGGCATGACAACTTGTGACAATGCATCTTCAACATGCTTGCAACAACCAAGGAGTGTTTCCGTATGCCTACAGACCATACCTGTTCCTGACTAAACAGTCAGCTAAACACAGTGCTTCCTATCTTCCCAGCTTGGAAGTCTTTCTAAGATGCTGCATGTTTCTCATGCTACTAAGGAAAAAGTCAGTGTGGAACAAACATGTGCTGTTACAGTCTTTTCACTTGCCCCTGAGTCTGTGATACTTGAGTACAGAGGATTATGAAAGACATCCCAGAAACAGCAAATTTCTTCCCATAGGCATTCACACATCTATCCCACACTGCTATGCAACCCAAACCACTGCACAGCAACCCTTTGGGTAACCACAAGCCCTTCCCCATTATGCTCACAGCACTAAAAATATGTGGTATATATGTTCCTAACGCTGGATGTATGCCACAGCACTAATGAGCTGATCCTTCCCAGGGGCGCTCTTAGCAACAATGTCTGGTTTATGCATAACGGCAAAGAGCTGTGAAAAATGCACCCAAACCACCTACTACTTTAGGCTGTTACTATCTTTACTTTGAATATTGTTATAAATTTTAGATTTTTTTGCTTCATGTTGTTAACAGGTAACCATTCATTTTATTATTCACTATTTACCTTTGCAAGGTGCTATAATATCTTCCTTTTTATCCATGTGATCTTTGTGACATTTGATATGGCAACGACGGCACTCTAGGGCAGGAGGAGGTTTAAACATGTGCCACAGTGGCTTCATACAAGCCTCACAGTTGGTTGGAAAATGATACAGAGTAGGTATGAACTCGTGTCCTTTGTGGCAAATGTAATTTGATTTCTCCCCCATGGGCTCCACAGGAAATTCTTGTTCCTTTTTGCTTTCCCCTTCATTAGCATACAAAATCTAGAGTCAAAGCAAAAGAACCACAACATTTTTACACAAGGCAGACTCATTCAGACCAACTATTTAATCAAAAAGGTTGAGGAATAAAGATACAAATAGTATACCAGAATACTTTGATGTCTATTTCTGCAATCTACTTTTTCTCATTTGGTAGTAGAGTCTTATTTAATAAAAATATGTTAAAGCGTTTTTGAAGCATCTTGTGCTATTTGATTAAGAAATCTTACCCTTTGGTTACTCTGCAAACACTGACATATAAGTCCATACCTGGAATATCCTGGGAATCTCCTTAGAATCTGCTCTGTACACATCGGTCTGTGTGACTGGCCGAACATGGAACAATTTGCTGAAGAAGGAAATTATTTTAGTAAAGACAAAAAATGACATCCAAGAGTGTTAACTTGTTAACAAAGTGTACTGATTTAGCATACACATCAACTGCAATTTATACTGAAACTTAGCCAACAGGATTCAATCTGTAAATTTAGCAACAATAATCAAAATCCTTAGTCAACTTTATTGAATTCCTATCCTCCTTGCCCTGTATACTAATTTGCAATACATTTAACCAAAGAGGCAAAGCAGCCAAATTAAGTTTCTAAAAGTGCAACAGTTTTAACAACTGCAACTGCTTTATCTCAAAAGTTTACCAGAAAAATCTTCATATACATAAAAGCTAGACTTCTCATCAGCTAAATTAGGTATTTGTTAAGCAAGGACCTACATTGCACTTGAATCCCACTGGTGCATTTCAGGTCCTCCCTCCGTACCAATTCAATTATATGACAAATCTCCCCATTCCTCCCCATCCGTGTCTTTTGTGTTCAAACCACCCTCTTTATTTGATAACCAACTCTGTGCAGGTCCTTTCATGGCATCTGATGAAGTCAGTTCTGAAAGCTTAGGCATCTTGAATTTAGTTAGTCTATAAGGTGCATCTCTACCCTGCCTTCTGCCTGACTTCGGATATAGCTAATTCTCTCTTCTCAGGGATAGCATCATGCTCACCCAAATAAAATGGACTGCAATCCATCTACACAAGAAACTTGCTCAAGAACTCTCAGATATCTTCTTTCTGACCAGATGCAAGCAGATGTAGATCATACCCAAGGGACTCCAAGTGACTAATCCACTGTGTTCTACCTGCCACACAGCCTTTCCTGACAGGTTGTGCTTCACTCTCTCCGAGAAACTGAGGAACCACCTCATTATCAGCATTACAGCAAACAGGAGCAGCTCAACAAGAAGACTTGCAAAACTAACAAACAACATACAGTATACTCAGACATAACAGCCATTTACCAAGAAGAGATTTTTGCATCCTGGCACAAATCTATCACAAACACCTTTGCTCCTTAAAGACAATGAAGGAAACGGAACTCTGCACACTTGCATGCTCCAACAACAATCCTACAAATCAACTGTAATGTCATCAACCTATCCAACCACACTCTCAGCCCAGCTGAGGTACTACCCCATGGTCTTACTTTCTGTCCCATGATGGCTGTATGGAAACCTCAAAGCTTTTTTCTGCTGCCTAAGACAAAGGAAATGTCTTCGTGGCACGAAGCCACATAGCGATCAACCCACCTATGCATTCCAAAAAGGACAGCTCCTGGACTCCACACCTGAGGGTCACAGCCCTACTCTAAACGTGTATATAAGCTGTTTCTGCCTCTGTAGCCACCCTAACATTGCCAGAGAAACAACACTAACGTTACAACCTTAGTCCTGCAGAATGAAGAGCCATATGCAGCCTTAAGAACAACCCTGGTATTTTCATACAATGGGCTGATAAGGAGAGCTGATAAGGAGCCACTATTGTCATAGAGAAAACAGCATACATACAGGACCTCAAGAGAACTTTCCAACACAAATTTTAATAAACTCTTAACTGAGGTCCACACAGCACAATACCAGAAGGAATGAAACAACCTCTTAATGATGCTGCTGCCTCTGAAAACACTGGAAAGGATTACTGCTTCCACCTCCCAGGAACATAGAGCAGGCAACTTTTACTTATTACCAAAGCTCCACAAACCTGACAACTGAGGAAGCCCCACTATTACATGCACCATCATGGAGGGGGTTTCTGGCAACAATCACTTTATCCTATTTCCATATGCCACTGGAACTGCCAGCTATTTGAAAGATCCCAGATTTGGGGTCCACTGACAAGATTCCAGAGAACACTACATTACTGACCATGGATGTCACATCTTTATACAACAACAGTATCCTTCATGAAGACAGATTATAAACTATAAAGAACATTATTCCCAATGACGACACTGCTTCCGTTTCATTCATTCTCTCCTGCTTTATCCTCACGCAGAGCCACTTCAGATTTGTGGACTCCGTATACTTATAAGCAAATGACACCACCATGATCACCTGTATGACTCTCTAATATGCCAATATATATACACACGTGTCAGACCTTGATGTCCACTTCCTCCAATACTGCCCGCCTCATCCCCCAGGTATACCTACAGTACAACATGAAAATTTCATCATATGGACACATGGGAATGAATCTCTTGAGAAATTCCACGAGGACTTAAACAACTTCCACCCCTCCGTCAAACTGACTCTGGAATATTCTGCAAGCACATTCATTACCTGGACACCACAGTGAAGGTTTGCAATGGCCATATCATCACCACGTTGTACTGAAAACCCATCAACTGCCACAGCCACCTTCACACTATTAGCTTTCATTCTAAGCACACCAGTTTATCTATCATCTACAGTCAAACTACATTAAACTGTAGCTGCTCTGCACTGACTCAAGTGTAAGGATCTGTGTCATGACCCAAGGGTATGATTTTGTGTGTGCTTCGGCACTGCAGAATTATTTGCCGCCACGAGGAGCTTTCTTTGCACGGTGCAATTCTCAGTTGCATAGAGAAAACTCCGATGCAAAGGAGTTCCCGCCGCTCGCATGCAAATTTGTTTCCCACTATTGGCTGTTTCTAAATTATTCCCACGTGGCGGCTAGCGATTGGCTTGCTAGCCGTATAAGAGGCTTGAGCGGTTTCCGCCCAAGTTGGAGGACTCCACAACCATCTCGTGGAGGAAGAGAACTTCACATCCATCTTGTGAAGAACTCTAAGCGCGCTGTGGAGCTTAACAAACCCAGCGTGTGCCTTAAGGACGATACAGGGGCCTGATCAACCTCTAGCCTCTCCCCGTCGCCGCCTGATCCCTCAACGTACCCTTCCCTGCGCGCTCAGTCCACGGAGCCTAGCAAACTTCGTGTGTGTGTATCCAGAGCTCTTTCCGGGTTATTTCAAGAGGCTCGAGTTTTCTATGGGTCTTGTTCGTGCGTGTTTTCTTTTTGTTTGTAACTGCAACTTAAGCGAAGTTTTTCCTGCCTGCACCGCGACCATCTACGGTGTAAGTAAAATAATCTTTAATCAACCGCTACGCGTCCGTGCCTAATTCTAGTCCGCCGTGCCAAATTCCCCGACCCACGTGCCAGGGCTGCTGGCCACAGCCCGCCCCCGAAAGCCTCGGACCGGTCCCGGCCCGCACAATCTGGAGCAGGATTTCCTAAAAGCCCAAAACTACAGCCACTCAAATCAACAAAGACAGACTCAGTCCCCAGTCTGACCTGCTACAATACCAACCACAAGACAAAGACAACAGAATTCCTCTAGCTTTCACCTGCAGCTCTCAGCTTGAACACTTGGACACATCCGTAATGACCTCTGACCTCAAATAGTCTCTTTCAGGCACCTAACTCCTATTCTCACAGAGGTACCAGGCTTTGCAACAGACCCAGATGCAAGCTGTGCCTCCTCATCAATGCACACACTGTCATCAATGGACCAATTAAAATAGATTAGAACAGCTGAGATTCATTCATCTGCACCTCTACCAATGTCATATATGCCATAACCTGCTTACAGTACCCCACTGCTGTCCATATTGGACAGAAGGGGCAAGCCCTACATGAAAGAATGAGGGGATACCAATCTGACATCAAGTCCAAAAGTACACAAAAGCCTGTGGCAGAACACTAATATTCCTGGACTTCAGAGTAGCTGTTTTAATACAGTGAAAGTTTAAAGGATGACAACGCAAAACTGCAGAATAAGAAGTCATCCACAGACTGGATTGTGTTATGTATGATCTAAACAGAAACTACAGATTCTTATCCCATTACCAGAATTAGTTTTTGTGACCCTTTGTCCCTATGGTTTTTATTATTTGCTTGCCTCTCTCAGCACTTATCCCCCTCTCCTGTCTTTTGAATTCAAATCACTTTATTTAGTATCCTGGTCTGCACATGTCCTTTCTTAGCATCTGAGGAAGTGAGCTCTAACTCATGAAAACTTATACCATCTCTGATTCAGTCAATCTATAAGGTGCTGCATCTTTACCCTGCCTTTCGAGACATTATCTGAGTTGCAGCTGTTCTCTACAACCCCCCAGTTCTTTTGCTCAAACTGTAGCACCTCATGCTTTTAGCTGTAGAAGTTGCTGTATACAGGAGCAGGTGTGTTGTCTATGGGAGCAGTCATCACATATTGACTGACCTCAAACTGTAGTTTAAATACAAAAGAACAGCTATCATGAAAAATATTTTCTATGCTGTTTTCTGTGCAAGATTCTCTGCTAACGTTCATTTGAAAGTTTACAAAAACAATACAATGAACAATCTCATGGCAAAATACTTACTCTATATCTAACACCATATAAGGGTTAGATTGTTCTTTATCTTGTTCACTATCATAGAATAGAATCTTCTTACTGCTTACAATGACATACTGTTAAAAAAAAAGATTATGATAAGTCTTTAAAATCTCCTTACATTTTTAAATATTTTACTTTCCTTGTACAACAGTCAAATAGTTCCATAACAGTATTTTTTCATGTTTCTCTTCAATAGTTAAATGAAAAACAAAAGAATGGTGGTTTGAGTCCAATTTTGCTAAAAAAGTTGTCATTTATATCACAGTTAACATAAAATTGTGTTAATCTGGTAATGAATGAAATCTGCAATTTTAAATAACAATTAAAAAAGAGGTAAACAATTGAACCCAGGGGCAATGCTAACAGGATACAAAGGCCTGACATTCTTTTATAGTTGACTCATATTAGTAGTGACAAGTACAGCTGTGCAAAGCTTTGGTAGCTGATTCGATTTGGAGGAGATTCAGCCCAATTCAGGGACCAAATCTCTGAATCCAAATCGAATCGGGAGACCAATTAAAAGCTCTGAATCGATTCGAAGGATCTGAATCGATTTGGAAAAGATTCAGAAAAGATTTGGCCACTGCAGAGATTTGGCTATAAACTAAAAAGGCAACTGACACAGCTGTCTCCAGCTGGTAAATCTGTTGGGGTTGGGGGGCGGATTGGGGCTGGGACAAGCTGCCCAGGTAGGGTGGTGGGGCGCGCTGGTTGCGAGTGCAGCAGACCTGGGAGCCGGGGCTCTGCTTTCCTGCCTCTTTCCCAGCTGGGGTGGGAAGCGGACACGGCTCACTTCAAGCGGAAGGAGGCAAGCGGCAGCAGGGCATAGCTCTGGCTCCTAGCACTGCTGTGCCCACATCTTATGCCTGCCAGCAAGCAGTGACAGGGCAGAGCCTGTGCTCCCAGTGCTGCTGCGGGCACGGTAGTGCTGGGAGTGGGGGCTGTGCCCTGCTGCTGCCTGGAGAAAGCTGTACCTGCATTGCACCTCCCCCCCTCCCCCCCATGCCACCTGGGCAAGCAGCAACAGGGCATAGCCCCCGTGGCACCCCCTGCCAGGGCACAGGTAGGCACAGCCAGAGGAAACACAAGAGAAGCCCACATGGCTGCCCTGCCCAGCCCCATCCCCCGCTTGGGCCAGCCTCCCAGCACTTAAAATTAAAAAGCCCTGTAACTCACTGGCTCTGGCAGCAGTATCAGGGCCTCTGAGGGCAGAGCCCCCCCACATGCAATGCGGGGCAGTGGAGATCATCCCGCCTGTTGGCACCTGCACGGCAGCTTCCCCATGGTGCAGGTGCAGCGTGGCTCAGCAGGGTGCTGCACGCTGTCTGTGTCCCGGGGCGGCTTCACGTGTCAGCCAGAGCCCAACACCGCTCAGCCCCAGCGGCCCCAGTTTCCAGCCAAGCCGTGCTGCACCCGTGTGATGTGACAGCTGCTGCGTGGGTGCCAAGCAGGGATGGGGCAATCCCCGCGGTCCTGTGCTGCGTGGAGGGGCTCTGCCATGAGTGCCGAGAGGCCCCAATCGCCACTCCTGCAGCTGGTGAGTGTGAGGCTTTTTTTGTTTGTTTGTTTTATGTGCCGAGACTAGACTGGGGCCAGGCGGGGAATGGGGCCAGGCAGGACAGCCATGGGGGCTTCTCCTGCAGCACCCCCTGTCCAGGGAGAGGCACGCACAGCCGGAGGAGCCACGGGAGAACCTGCAGCTGCCCGGCTGTGTCTGCCTCTCCCCAGCCAATCTGAATCACCACCAAATCTTCCGAAACCATTTTGGCTGAATAGATTCAGGATGGTGATCCAAATCTGTCCTCCAAATCGGCTGCATCCAAGTCCAAATCGAATACTTCCCTATTTGCACAGACCTAGTGACAAGTATCTAATGATGCCTGTTTCAGGTGTCTAGTTCATAGGATACCGATGTCCCCACCATAATTAGCACTTGTGTTATGAGTCTCAAGAAAGGAGCCAATGAATTAGTAGATGAAAAAGAAAATCTCGTACTTAGAAAATATTCAGAAAAGGCAGGTAGGTGACGTAATGAAAAAAAAACTTGGTATCACCAGTATCTATGCTCTATCTTTTCTGTAGAGTACCATCTGTCTCATGGACTTAAGCACCAGCCATACAAAGAGACATCCATGTCTCACTCCTGGGTATCATAATGCCTTACCAAGATCAATAGTTGAATGATTCCTTTTACTTGCATCCTGCACACTAATTTCCACTTACCAAGTGCTTTTGCACCTAGATTAAATCAAATTTATAGCCTTGGGATCCTGTTGAGATTGCTTACTGCTAGATTCCTAAATAGCCACAGCTGCATGCACTGCCCCCTCCCCTTTGCAGCTGAACAGCAACCTAACAGATTTTGATCTGGCAATTTTTTTTGAATTCTGATTAAAGAACTCTTATTTAAGAAACAAAATTACACACTTTGACATAGATGTATAATATAAAAACCCAATAGCCCTAGTACTGAAGTCAGCTTTCTCACCTTTTTAACCCATCCAAATTTCTTAGTGTTATTCCGGACTGGGAGTGATAACCAGCCCTCTAATCTTGACTCTGTAAACAAATATTAAAGCAAATCAGTATCTGAACATACATTCTTTTTGAGCCTCCATGCATTTGAAACAGTCTTTAATTTGAAGTCATAAAGCAGACACACAAATGCCATGGCCAGCTGAGGGGATGGGGAAAGAAGTCTTCCTAAAAAACAGCAAGTTTTTAGGAAACCACATCTTACATGTAGCAACTAACAGCACATAATGCAACTCAAATTGAGTAAAGGACCAAATATCTAATAATAAAATTATACTATTACACACACACACACACGTACATTCACATTCCTTTTTAGTAAAAATAAAACAAAGACGTTTAGAGATTAAAACGCTTATAGTCATCAACCTCCAGCAATGAAAACTGCTTGTTTAAAAGCATTAATATAGAATATACAACATCCAGTTCTAGGGAAAAGTTTCAGAATATGAACATACATAAAAGTACATGAAATGTAAAAGGCTGCACATAAAGGATTATATTTAATGGCTATTGTAGATATGTGTCTATATACAGACACTTATTACGTAACTTGCATATTACTTACATTTTGCTATGGGAGTAGGCAGGCAAGGTTCTTTGAGTAGATGTGATATAGGGAGTCTCTACTGGTCACTCCCTATGCCTGAAGTAGGGTGACTGCGCCCGAAAGCTTGCTAAGAATTTATTTCCAACTACTCAGTTGGTCTAATAAAAATATCACATCTACTCAAAGAACCTTGCCTATGTCCTTAGATCAACATAGCTACAATCAAAATCCCAGCAGATATGGGAGTAGAGGATTTACAAATAAAACTAACTGTTCTCTGGAAAGGGAAAAGCAAAATGTCAAGTTCTGCCAGTATAATCTGAATCCCTTGCTCTACTACCTTTTCCCTAGAACCAACATATATCACCATAGCTTTCTAATCTGTTAAAAACCACCTCTGGCTAATTCTCTGGCCTTTTCATGCATACAGTATACTGTCTCACTGAATTACTTCATAAGAAATACCATATTTGCTTGAATTCAAGGTAAGGTTCCTCCCTCCCCCCCTCAACTATGGCTGGAAACCTTGTCTTAAATTTGAGTCCTAAGCCAGGATAGGTGGTGGCTCAGCTCCGGCCAGAGCTGACCTGCTATCTGCCCCAGCCTGGGGTGGCTTGTGTGGTGGTGGAAGAGAAGGTTTGCAGGAGGAATGGGGGGGCACAGGGCGAGAATTCAAGGGAAACAGTGCGGTGGGGAGGGAGTATGGGGGAGATTATGCAGCTTGGGGGGAGCATGGTGGAGCCTGCACAGCATGTCCCTGGCCTCATTTAGTCTCGGAGCCAGCCCTGGCCCCAGCCTGGCTGGAGCTGCAGCCATTGCTTCCACCTGGCTGAGTCAGGCCAGGTTGGGGCTAAATTTAAGACGACCCTCCAATAATTAGATCATATACATGGACATTTATAACAAATGTATAATTTTCCATGTATAAAATCAAATTACTGAGGGGCCACCTTACATCTGAAGATGTTTTGGATTCAGGTAAATACAGTAGTTTCTTGTTGCTAGTTTCACACAATAGGAATATTTATTCCACATTGATAATGCTTTTGAGAACTTAATAAATGAGATCTCATATTGGATTTATAAATGTCAGAATATCAACAGTAGTTAGAACATAAAAGCCAAATTGGGATCAGACCTTCTCTGTGCTTGGTACTGGTGCACTAAAATCTCACCTGCCTCTTGTTAAAATCTAGTTTAAGGCAAGAATTTGTCTTTGCAGTAATGTAAGTATTGGGCAGCATTGTTTACCTGGAGTAACTGCTTTCTCATCAACAGATCACAATCTTAGATCCCTGCCACTGCACAGAAACTAAGTTAAAAAAACCAAGACATTTACATACACTTTCCAAGAACATGGGGCAAGAATTCATGTTTGTCCCACCTACTTGTCACATTATATTACTGTTCTCACTTGCCCAGCATCAGACAGAACACACAGAACGTTAATCAAAAGACTGAATCCCACAATGCCAGACATGCAAGGAACACAAACTACTTGTTAATAATGTCACAAAGGATGTTTTCATTACAAAGAACTAGTCCCATCCTACTTACTCTATCTCCCTTGCTTCATCTTTCTAAACTCCAAAAATTCATTTTGACAGAAGAGAGAAATCTGATGGGAAGCTTCCCATCAGATTACTTCTGGGATTCATTTTTAACTAGGAGCAGAAAAAGGCCAAGGACTACATCATAGCTTTCCAGAACAGCCATGTCAATCACGAGTGTGAAAAAAGAGAGGGAGGGAGCTGGGGGAGTATCAGGAAAGGAAGAAGACATGTTGCTAAGAAAATGCAGTCATGGCAACCGCCTATATGCTCAGTAGACATAAACATGGTCTTGTCCACCCTGCAAGAAATGTTACATACTAAAATCGGTCTACAAACTATATGTAATTTTTAATTTTTAAAGACACACTAATTTGGTGAAAACAAGAAAAGTAATAAAATGCCCTAGAATAGAATAGTACAGCTATTATAAACAGAAGCTAGAAAAAAGCCCCAAATCTACACTGTTTCCTGTAAAATGGGCATCAGCATATACAAAGTGCATGCTGTAGAGAAATAAAGATGCTATTTTTCAGTATTATGACAATAATACTAACTAAATTTTAACCTTTTGTGGAAAATTAACTGACCAAACAGATCCATATTCTAAGAAGCTTTTAGTCAAATGCTAAAATGTGAATATGGCAATAAAAAATTAAAACTTTACATTAGTACTAAACATGAGTTTTGTTCACTGCAGTATGTATGTATTCATACAGAGTTTAAAGTTTGGAAAAATGCACGACACATATATAGAATTTTCTTCATGCTGCTGGAAAAGTAAAATTCTAAAAACTTGATACTGCCCTCTACACTATTGGAGCACCCCTAGGTGTACACATAAATTATATATCCTTGGTAGTGTAGAGGGCAGTATCAAGTTTTTAGAATTTTACTTTTCCAGCAGCATGAAGAAAATTCTATATATGTGTCATGCATTTTTCCAAACTTTAAACTATCTATAATTTATGTGTACACCTAGGGGTGCACCAATAGAGATTTTGGGGGCCGATACCGATAGCCAATATTTAAGGAGGCATATCGGCCAATACCGATCTGATACCTGATACAGCTGACATTCGCTGGTAAGCCCCTTGTTGTGGAAGAGGAGGGAAGCGATGGGGCTGGGGGGGGGGTGGGGGCGGGCGCAGATCAGCGCCCCCACTGTGAGCGAAGGGGTAGGTGCTGCCCAGCCAGAACAGGGCAGGGGATGGAGGCGCAGCTCATGGGGTGGGGGCAGCTCCTGCCACGGCTTGCACACCGGGAGGGCGGGGACAGCATGTGCCCCCAGATCTGCATGGTGCGGGCTGCAGCTGCATGGGGCTTTTCTTGTCGGGGGGCTGGGCTCGGAGTGGGCTCCAGCGGTACTGGGAGAAGGCTGCAGCCACCCCAAATTTCACTGCAGCTCTGCTCCCAGGCCCATAGGAGCAGTGCCTGGCGCAGCCCTGGCTGAACACCTCGCCTCCACCCAAGCACCACGAAAAGCCACGGCTGTGCTGGGCGGTGGCACAGGAATGGGAGCAGAGCTGTGGTGAAATTTGGGGTGGCTGCAGCCTCCTCCCAGCATCACCGGAGCCTGCTCTGAGCCCACCCCTGGCAAGAAAAGCCCCGTGCAGCACTGACTCCGACTTCTCCCCATAGCTGCAGCCCATGCTGCACGGATCCAGAGGCACACATGCTGCCCTCCTGCCTCCCATCAGGGTACAAGCACCAGAAGGAGCCGGCTCCCTCATGAGCCATGCCTCATTCCTATGACCCCCACGACCTCCCTCACTGTGGTGGGGGAGTGGTGTTGATCTGCTCCCTACCCCCCTCTTCCCTCCCCCTCCAACTTACCAGCTGGAGGCAGCTCTCCATGCTGCCAGCTCTGCTCTGTGTTGCACTGCAGCTGTGTGCAGCATGGGCATTTATCAGCCAAATTATCGGCCCCATAGGGCCCATATCTGATACAGGTTTCCCTCGATTTACGCAGGTTGTTTATATGTGAATTCGCTCTTATGCAATGAGTATATTTAGACCCATAATTTGTTATATCCAAGGTAAATTCACTCTTAAGTGATCAGCATATATGCCCCACCCCTGCCCAAGCAGGTAACTCTGTGGGGGGAGGAGAAAGGCCCCTGGCCCCACTCACCCCAGCCCTGGCTGCAGGGGCACAGGAGTGGCCGGCACCAGCTGCCTGCAGCTGCTGGCTGTACCGTGCTCCACCTGTCCCCCTGCGCCTGGGCTCTGCTTGTCTGCACTCATCTCTGCTCCTGGGCTGTGCTGTGCCCGGGGCCACTCCAGCATGGGCTGGGGTGAGTGCAGACAAGTGGAACCCTGGGTGGTACAGAGCGTGGCACTCACCCCAGCTCCTGCTGCAGCAGCCCCAGGAGTGGCGGATGCCAGCTGCCTGTAGCAGCTGGGCTGCACCATGCCCTGGTGCAGATACCCAATGTCAGCTGCTCCCAGGGCCACTCCAGCACAGGCTGGGGAGAGTGCTGCGCCCTGTGCCACCCATGGCTCCACTTGTCTGCACTCACCCCAGCCCATGCTGGAGCGGCTCTGTGAGCGGCCAACACCAGCTGCCCGCACCACAGCACGGTGTAGCCCAGTAGCTGCAGGCAGCTGGCACCAGCTGCTCCTGGGGTTGCTGCAGCTGGGGCTGGGGTGAATGCTGCTCTGTTCCCACTGCTTTGCTTCCTTCTGCAGCCCCAGGAGCAGTACCTCTCCCCGCCACCCCTCTCCTAGTCCCAGCTTCACTCCCTCCCTCTCTCACCGCCATGGGAACCTATCCCTATATGTTACATTGTAAAGTAGGTTCGTTTTATGTGAATTTGATTTATGCGCCATTCTCCAGGAACGCACATACCACATAAATCAAGGGAAACCTGTATAGACAATTTTCTACATAATCAGTACTGATCCAATATCTGACCAATGTATTGGTGCAACTCTATGTACACCTAACATTAAAACCAATTTTAGGCCCTACTGATATGAATTTAACATTAGAGAAAAATACAAATATCCAGAGATTGCATTGAAAGATTGCATTTGTGCTCAGAAGGTGAGCATCTAGATAGTTAAGTGTTCAAGAGGAATACTAAGATCAGAGTTCTTGGACATTCCAAAGCTTAAGCATATGTATTTAGACAGGCACACTGCATGGAAACTACTCTGAAGCTATGATCCTAAAAATCACCTTTTAAAAGGCTTCTGTAAAGTGATGTTTTTAAAATATAGCTATTTTGGTTGCAATCAAAAGTAAAGATTTAGAGAACACATGGTTCAACTCTTAGTTCATGCAACATTTGATTAATGTTTTGGATTATATTTACCAACAGCATTTTTTTAAAAGAGTATTAATAATGTTAGCTTTGGGAGAGGAAAGGTCAAAAGACACAACAAAAAGTAAGTGCATCAAATGTTTTTCCGGGATGTCACCTGTGCTATCAGTTTCTGAAGGGGTGGGCTCTGAAGGGGCAGGTACACAAGAAAGAGGTTCCTCCTCTGAGTCAGAATCAGAGTCGAGAAGCATTTGAGAACTGGAAGGCTTAGTGGCAATACTGAGAGAGGTAGAAGAATGTTGGTAGGTAAAAGACATTGACTCCATTGTGTGGGACTGAGTGATGTGGACTAAACAGTACAAAGAAGGGAAAAAAGGTCAGGAAAGATGTTAACACAGAAAAAACTAGAAAGAGAATATTAGTTTTTTTACATTTTATCATGTAACACAGTATTTACAAAACAGACACCATAAACAAGAGAAGAAATAGTTATTAGTTTGCATGAGATACAGAATGTATTTTCTTAATTCTTAAAAGTTTAGGAAAAAAACCTCATTTTTTAAAAAACAATTGAAAGGGCAGGGTTAAGGTAAAGACTGTTTCACTTAGTACCTGAATATTAAGTGCTATCAAGATTTTGAAAATGTACAAAGGAATACAGAAATACCAAGTAAAGCATATAAACCTCAGCAGGGCAGTATAATACTTCAGCTCCTAAGGAATTAAATGAAACTGATGAAAATAGTAATATTACTAAAAAATACATACCAGGGAATCCATCGTCTGCCTCAGCATCCCCAGGGCCACTACCTATGCTACTATTATCTAGACCAATATGTAATGACTGCAGCTGTGAGCGAAGTTGTTCAATGTCACTATCTTTGCTGTCAAGTGTCATCTGCAGTTCAATTCGTATCTGGCTCTCTTCTGCTATTTGCTGTGAAAATGATTTTAAAAGATTTACCATTTAGTATTAACACTCTACTCCATAATTTACTAAAAATATTTTCTTAGTCAAATAAGTACTTTGCAACAAATCTTGAAGTACACAACTACTTCATTTTTAGGTGAGTCATCCTTCAAATATGCAAAATTATAAATAAATATGCTATCCTAGAATATTTATAACCTCTTTTGCAATTTCTTAAATAGCTACCGTAATATTCTTATTTTTATTATTTCTGCACAGGTATTCTTACCGCCTGCATCTCATTGATCTCCTTTTGATATTTGATCATCATTTGAGTTAAATTTTCACGTTCAGATTTCAGCTCCATATGCAGCTTCCTGTTTTCCTTTTCTTTCCTCCGCACATCAGTGTCAGCTCCACGTTTGACAGGATTCTTCCGATTCATGATCTCAGCCAACTTGTTCACAGCCTTCAGAACACAGAGCAAAGGAAACCCCCAGAATCAGACTGAGTGTAAATATCCACAGTCACTTTTAAAATACTTTTCTCAAAATCTCAAATCATTGTACATTGCTAACTAAAATGCCAATGCAAACCAGTGCAGTAATTAAGTATACTTCCAAAAAAAAGAAAATAAAGATGATATTTCACTTTGGATAGAATATTTTTTCTGCATACTTCCTTCACATAATCAATTTAGTCAGAAGCCAAAACTATCTTTGAGTGGGAATGTCTAAACAGGGCACTAAGTTGTCTAGAAATAATAAGAATTCAAAATCTGATTCATAAGGTCTAGTTTCCTAATGACAGTAGCATTCATGACCACAGCCTTCAAGAAAGGTGAACAAGTGTGTGTGTGTGTGTGTGTATATAAATCATTTAGACAAAGACGAAGGTAACTAAGAGTTGCTCATAACAGATTTAAATCAAATTATCACATAATTAAGAACTATGTCAAAACTAGATGTTTTGAATGAAGATACATGGCTTCAAGTGTATTAGGTTTTACACAGAGGTAAATGACATTGGTGAAATGTCTACTGACGTATATAACATACTGATGTAGCTACACTGATGCAAATTTTTCTGATCTATTTCTGTAAAAAGGCATAGTATAAAGATTGCATCCATTGAGTGCATACAGTCAGTTAATATTAGAAAGCAGCCTTTCCATGTAAAAACGCTACATAATTCATGAAAAGTGCGCTGATGAAGTTATTGGGATTATCATCTCCTCCACTTCCATTTATATTTACCTGGGTTTTCAGTGTTCTCTCATTCAACAGCTGTTTCTCAAGTTGTGCTTTAATAGTTGCTGTAGCTGCTGCTTCTTCTTTTAGCATCATAATTTCTGTAATAAAGTAAAAATGCAAATATATAAAGGCTGATAACAGCAGTAAACAACAACACTTGTAAAAGTACAAATTACTTCAAATTGAATTCAAGTTGTTTAATAAACACTCACCTTCTTGAGCTTCTTTCAGTTTATTATTCAGCTCTTCCTTCTCATTAGCAAGATTAGCCACATCACTAGTTAGTGTCCTATTGGCTTCTTCCAACTAAAAGGAAAACAAAGAATAGTTACCACACGTTACCACACGTTACCACACAACTACCACCACTCCCAGCAGCAGATCAATGGGTTCCATGAAGTGACTTATAGCAAAGGCCAGGAATAAGAGGAAGAGAGGTCCTGGAGCAAGAAAAGGAAAAAGAGCAGAGAAGAACAGATTACCAAGTGGAGGTGAGCAGAAGAAGGTGGTGGAGAGTCGGGGGGAGGAAGGAAAGAAAGGGAAGCATAAGAAACTTCTTGTCAGACTATGTGATATGAAAAAGGAATAATGGAAGAGCTAGGCAAAGTCAAGAAGCAAACAGAGGGCATGTATAATGACAGCTGCCCAGAGAGACTTGATGGAGTTCAAAACAATGAGAAGGTGAAGGCTGAAATGTTAAGAAAAACTGAGAGCTTAGAACCAAGAAGAGCAAAAGGGAATTCATCACAGCTACTGCAAACCATAGCAATGGAAGGGAACTGAAAACAGAACGATTACTGAAAAACACATAAAGGCAGAGGATGGATCAGAGAAGCACAAACGGGTGAAGAGAGCCAAGGATAACCATGTATGGAAGTGTATTTTTTTTGCAAAACAAGGCCTTATTCCATAGATTTAAACAGGAGAGAATTGCATTTAAGACCAACAGGGACAGAAGTCCAGATTGAAAGAGTCTGACTAATCAGAGGTAATTCACACTTCATAGGTAGGAAGGAGGGAAGAGGCAGATTTTGAACAGTTGTCTTAGAGACAGAGAGAGAACACTGAACTTATACACAGGGATCTACCCAAATCCAGGAGGCAGCCGGCCGATTTTGCGGGCAGATCGTTCAGTGGCTGGCTGCCATTTTCATGAGTTTATCACAGCAAGCCCCCCGCCCCTCCCCCTCTCTGACTGGCTGATTGGGATGAGGAGGGAGCCAGCAGTACTCATGGCCACTGCTGCGGCCCAGCTGTGCAGCCTGCCAGAGGGGTAGGGGGCTGCAGAAATTAAAGCGAGCCCAAGATGGCTGTTGCCCCCATCCCTCGCCACTGATTCATTGCAAGGGCTGTCTATCATACGGCTCTGCCCCTCGAGGCTGACTGGCCAGGAGGGCAGGCCATCATGTGGCCCCACTCCTCACCGCCAACTGGTGGAGGGGGTGGGGCCACATGACAGGCAGCCCTTACAACCGATCAGCAGCAAAGGGCAGGGGCAGCGGCCATCTTGTGCTCCCCTTCATGCCAGCAGCTACCTCCCCCTGGCAGACTGCACAGCAGCAGCCATGAGTATTGCTGGCTCCCTCTGTGACAATAGCACTATTTGTGTGGAAATGTGCATCTCAAAATATAGTTTTATGGAAATAAATGTATTACCCTTTGGTACTTTACAATAAAGCACCAAATTTGTCTCACATTATTTCCGAGGGATTCTTCTAAATTAGGTTTATAAACAAGATTTCCAATTTAATCCTTGAAAACCTATACAAAACAGGAGTATATTAAGCCATGATAAAAGCCTTAACAAAACAGGATATACCACTGCATGCACTTCTCCCCTGCACAAACTTCTCAGGAAGGAGGCTGAGAGAGGAAACAACCTGTGACAGAAGTTAGGCACGTTACTTAACATCCTGCTGGAAGGTGGTGGGATCCTATAGTGATGAGTGCAGCGTAGAGTCTATATAGAGTAGAATGTCCTTAAAAACCTTCCTCTCCAAAGAGATCCTTTTTATTTAGGTTTTTATACACCTAGAATGGAAAGCCTAACAAAACTTTGATTAAACGAACATGGACTGGACCAATTATATGTAGATTTTGTTTTATATATTTGGTTTGGTCTCCACAAGTCCACAGAATAGAAAACTGTATTTTTTCAGCCAAATACGGGAAGTATGCAAACCACACATACTAAGGAATATTTGCTATGATTTTAAAACTTCATTCAAACATAGGAAGGCATGTAATGGTTTTACCCCTTCTCCTGCCACCGTGTTCATATAGAGTTTACTTCTAACTCTTCTAAGCACCAAAAACAATTCAAGCTGTGTGTTTCTGTAAACATACTTGAAATACATATTTGAATTTGTTAAAAATAAAGAATTTCTAGCACACACAAAAAAACAACTGCAGAAGCTATTGTGCAAATTACTTACAGAAGCTATGGTAGCATCTTTTTCAGTAAGCTCCTGTTTATGCCTAGCCATCATTTCTTTAATCTCCAGCTCTTTCATGATCTTCTCTTTTTCCAAATCAGAATATTGCTCTTCAGCAATGGAACGAGCAAGTTGCTCTGAATCAGCTTTTGTCAAAGTGATCTCAAGCTGAGCAGCCAAGGAGTCTCTGCAAATGATAAGTAGTTATTCAGAAGCCATTTTTTAAAACAAGTTAAGCATTCTGGTTTTCTGTACGTTTAATAGTACAGCCCATAAACCCTCACCTCTCATCTTGTAACTCTTGTATCTTTTGCTGTATTTCTTTACAGAGTTTAGTTTTTTCTTCACATTCTTCTTTTAGCTCTCGAACCTGTGTCTTATACAAGGTCTAGATTTAAAAAAAAAAAAGAGAAAGAGAAAGGAAATGACTTGCATATTGTAGCTGAAAGAGACCAGACCTTAATAAATATGATTCTTAACGTGAACAGAGGTCATATACAGGTGTGCCATGTCCCCTCTGTGTGTAACACTTCTCCCAGAAACACTGTTGTTTCTGTCTTTTTTCATTACCCTTCTTCTCAAATAATGGTCCTGTACCTGAAACACTACTAGAGAAGAGAAGAAGAGATAATCTTCTGTTCAGGAAGGCAAATGCATTCAGTCTCCATACTCTCTCTCTCTCTCTTGTGTGTGTGTGTGCACGCACGCACGCACGCACACACACACACACACACACACACACACTTAAACTATCAAATCAAAGTGCCTAGGAACACTATTCATGGACACATTGTATTGGCCCAGTAATTCTCAACTAATTAACGAGATCCTTTCAAGGAAGTTGTAGGGTGGCCATGCAATTTTGGATTTTAGGATTGCCTGTCAGATGTACAATCATGATTCACAAATAAATCCAGGGTTTTCAAATAGGAATCCATAGCATTAAAAACTTCCTGACCTGTTGTGAGCTTTCTGAGTTCTTCACAACAGAAGAACTGCTCTATTATTTTTCTGTAGTCAAAAAACAGTGAAAGCTAAGAGCCTGCATTTTCTGAGGGGTTCCTTAAGCCTAAAAAGATTGAGAACCACTGTACTAGGCATTGTACAAATAGTATAAAAAGACAGTGCCTTTCACAATTTAAGGGCATGGACCCATAACACTTAGAATGCTTTAAATGCAGTTGAAACCAAAACAGAAAACAAGCCTGTTACCCCAGTTTAAATCTGCCTGGAATGGTTCAAAAGTATACTTGGAAAACCAAGTGCTATTTTGAATTGCTTCACTGTGAACCGTTTCAGCATTGTGTGGACACCAAGCATTCTGTGAAATGGGTCTGGTCAGGTCTCCAGACATCCCACACTGCATTGCTCTCCTCCCTCCCCCACCACACTCTGCTGCAACTGGCTGCTCTGGTAAGCTGCCAGAAGTCTACTGCCCAGTTTTTTTCCTGTATTTTTGATCAATCAGTTCCCTTGCACTGCTTGTTCAATAAAAGCTATCTATCTAACAACAAGCTGCTTCCTCACTCCTTACTCAACCCCAGCCCCTCAAAGTTTCTTCAGTCCCTGGGAACCAACACTGGTGGGTCCAAGTACTCTCCCCCTTCCCATCCCAACCGCTCACTAACTGTGATGAATGCTGGCCCAAGTTCTAGCTTTTATCCCTTGGTGTCAGAGCCACAGAACTTCATACAATTGTGACCCAGTTCCCAATCACTGACACTCTGAAATGGTTTGATTGCTATATGTCTCTGCTTCCTGTCCTGCAATAATTATGAACTTGTCCCCAATCAGTAACATTGGGAATCAGTGATGGTTCTATTTGTGTCTGTACCTTAAGAGCTTATGATCCAAGTATAAAATGAGACACACAAGATGGATACAGACAAGTATGAAGTAAAAGGAGACTACTTTGATCAACAAAGCAGGCAGGGATCTCTGCATAGCAACAGTAAAATTGTCAGAATCATAGAATGGGGCTGGAAGAGATCTCGGGATTTCAAATAGACCAGTCCCTACTCTATATAAGATCATCTTATCAGGGAGGTTGGGAAAGATGAAGAGCGATTATGAGCAGGGATCCAGGTTTTCTGTTTCCCATGGAAAAATGAAGTAAAACATGGATTTCCCCCCCTACCAAAGTAAGACGCTGATTTATCATTTTAACAGAGAAACCCACAGATTTTGCAGTTTTGCAGCAAGTTCTCTGCAGACTGCCAGAGATCCAGCCTGCAAAAGGTTGGGCAAGAACAGGAGGAGTGCAGTCAGGCAGGGGGCACCATATGCATGTACATGCACATGGTCCCAGGCAGCCTGGAGGAGCAGCTCCCACAGGTAAGACTGGCCGGG